AGCGGCAGGCGCCATTTTAGTCTGTTCCAATGTAATAAAGTCTAAGCTTCTGCTCATTAATTTTCCCAGACCAGTTGCACCATAAATCAGTCTTTCCAGTGGAGGGTTTGCCAATTCAAATACACAATCCAAACATAATAACAAAGCAATGGCTCACCTCCCCCTCTGACTATCAATCTTGCAACTTAGTCTGTCTCATAATGGCGGATCCCGATTAAGGACTGCGTCACCGGATAGCCTTTCATTTTCTTTCCGTATCTTCCAAAAAGCAAAGCCTTTAATTAATATTTTTATTTACACACAGTTTATTCCACACAGTTATTTTCCATTCTCACTTGCTGTCAGTCGTGTGATGGTTCTCCTAGGAGAGGGGTTGTTAGGCAGTATCGTAAATAAAAGAAGAAGCTTTCCCCCCCACTTTCCGCTCCGTTTCAACATACCGACATAGCTGGGATTCTTAGAGGTAATCTTCTGTTCAGTCCATTCCCATCACTCTTGACTTCTCAGTGGCTGGCTTAATTAGCAGCTAAAATACCGTATCCTTAGCTCGAAACACGTGCATTTACTTTTTAAATCCAATTGTTAATCTTAAGTAATTCAACTAGCGTCACTCTTAGAAGCAGCGTCAGGGAGATCCAAAGCTCACTCGAGGGCTTTCTGTCCAGTGCCCCCACGCCCTCCTTCTTTCAAACTCGGGGGTGATATATCGGCAACCGCGGACGAGGCTGCATCTTCCCATCCCCTGGGAATAATCCGGGAGGTTGATGTACTCCCATAATCAGCCCCTAAATTACCTCATGTGAGCCGGACAGATGGTATTGTCGGCCATCTTCCAAGGCGCCCCTAGCAGCCCTGAGGTAGGCCCACTTCTTTCCCTTTTGAAGTGGTGGTGTCCTAAGGTGCGCAGTGATGCTTTGATGGATCTTGGTCCCACCAAATAGTGGCCTTGTGCCTTCAGACCATTCTTTGGAATTTTAGTAGCATAGTTGTTACATTGGGGTGGGGGTGTTATTGCAAAATTGCACTGAGTCTACATTTTTAAAAAGCTCTCATCTGCTTCATTTCACTAAAATAAAATTGTGCAAATTGAAAATAAAAATGTAATACACACACACCAATTAAGGATCATGGTGAGGAGAGATGTTGAAACAACTTTAGGAAGCAATCTATTGAAGCAGCTGCTTCAGCAGTCACTGGGAGGAGGGACAAACAACAATCTGTGGGTGGGGTGGGGAATCATTCAGACCCGGACCCAGAAAGCACAGACCTATGCTTGTAAAGTGCAGTGCAAAAGGAAGTCTGGATATGAGCCGTGTTTCAGGGATGAATGAGAAACACTGCTGTAACCCATCATTGCACAATGTAGTGACATGTAAGAAAATGTGTCCTGAGGTTGCTGGGCTAGCTTAAAGAATAGATACATCCACACCTCCAACTAAGCTGGTGTGGTTTTGAAATGGGGTGACACACCCCACCAAGGTGATTTCCACCCTTGCATGCAGGAAGTCTCACTATGTGGGCAGCAGTTAGGTGAGTTCAGAAGGAATTGGTGCTGCGTTCCGAGTGAGACGTAGGCAAGTGACAGTCAGATTTTCAAGTAAGTATGAGGGCATTTACAGATGACCTGTTCATTGGGCCTTCATCCTGATTTGTTTGCAGGGAGGTTATATTATGTTATGTCAAGCAATTGCTTTCCCACACATCCAGTGCACTTCCCTGTCACTTTCTTTATCGCAAAAAAAAAATCTAATTTGTGGAGGAAGAGGGTTTGTTGTTTAAGAGGGTCAAATCAGTTTTTTGTGATTTTCAATTTTATATATTTCAATCATTTTACAATCATTTTAACATTTCGAAACTCGACTTCCTTCCCCCTCTTTCTGTGGCTCCTTAAATTTATTTTGTATATTCTCTGCATATTCCAAATTAACTTAACTTATTCATATCTTCATCTATTTTAAATATATACCCTTATAAAACTGCAGGTTATCGCAATAATCCTGCCAATGTTCTAATCTGTTTACCGTTTATTTGTAAATATTCAATAAACTATTTCCATTCCTTTATAAAAAGTTTCTTACCTTGATTTCTTATTTTTCCATTAAGTTTCGCCATTTCTGATTATTCCATAAATTTTTGTACCCATTTTTCTTTCATTGGAACTTCTTTCCATTTTTAGGCAAGTAACATTATTGTGGCTGTAGTCGCAGACCTGAATAAATTTCTATACAGTTTGGGTAGTTTTGTCCCTATAATTCCCAAAAGGAAAACTTCTGGTTTTCTTACAAATGTTACCTCTTATTTAATTCATTATATATCATTTCCCAGTAAGCTTTTTAAAAAAAAAAATAATAATTTTTATTCAATTTTCCACTTTAACCATCCAATCAAATCACATTAAATATTCCAAATTATACATATCAAATAATCTGAATATTCTGCCAAATTATAAAATTTTAATAGGACTTCCCATGCTTCAAGTTCGGAAGGTTCTATCTCATACTTCTACTGCTTTTCATAGTCACTTCCAATGGTTCCTCTAATGCTTTCTGTTGCTAACCTTCCTTCTTTCACAGCCTCTGAGTTGTTCCCACAAGTGAGTTAAAACAAGCAATGATGTGTTTCTGTGTGGATTTTATGTCTAGGATTCCCCTCTAAAAGTTCGCAGCATCTCCTCACACGCTGGTGTTTCTGCCAAATCAATCCAAAGGTCTTCACTGCTGGCAGCCGCCATCTTCACTCACTTCTGATGAAATCAAGTCTAAGCGTCTGCTCAGTAATATTCCCAGACCAGTTGCATCCTATCCTATCTTTCTTAAATACTTCATTGAAATGATGATATTGTATCCATTTATCAGGAAGCAATCATCAACTCCTGGCTTGTTGCCCAGGAATGTCCAAAGACAAGGGAATGTTTCTTATCATCCTCTTTTTATTCATTATTTATGGAGAGAGGCTATAGAACCCAGCCTCTTGATAATGGCATTGTCCTGAGTGAATCTCCACACACCCCTCCGTCTCTCCCACTTCCTCATTCATCATTTCTACATGTGCTGCTTCGTGCCCTCTGTCTTTGAGCTCTTTGCTCTCCCACTTTCAAGGCTCGCTGGGTTCTGAGAGAGGGGGGTCTGGAATGTTTCCTAAAGACAGTGTGTCCGTCAGCTGTCGCCCCCCTACTGCTTCCTCCTCCTCTCCCTTTATTTAATATGTGAATTCTCCAATGTCATCAACAAACAAAGATGCTTCATAATATAATCTAATATCTGGCAGGGAGAACCCTCCTCTCTTTTGCATCTATCAATATTTTATTCTCATTTTTCCCCTTGCCAAATGTATTTAAAAATATCTTTTTGCCATGTGTTGAAACAATCTGTCTTGCTGATGACCAGAACTGATTGAAACAAAAATAACATTCTACGTAATGCATTTATTTTTATAGTCAACTCTGCCTAATAGAGAAAGATTCATTATGTTCCAGGGTCAAATCAGGTTTAATTGTGCAACCTGAATTTGTTGGTATGTGAATGAATCCCACTTGAAAATTGCAACAAGTGTGATTGATTTTCCCATGACGGGATCTTGATCAGTGGATATTTCCTGTGGATATGTCTGCAGATTTCATTATTCTGTGTGGCTTTTGCACAGGACCCCTGGTCGTTCCATGGACTATTGACCCTGCACCACTACAGCTTATCTCTTCCACTGTCACCAACCAGGTTTCAGACTCAGTCAGGTTGTAACTTATTAACAAAGATTCCAGTTTATTGTGAACGCAAACAAATTTTAAATACTTTGAAACACTGTAATCCAATTCACTCTCTTTGTCTCCCCTCTGTCTCTAACTCACTCTGACTCCTATGCCTCCCACCAACAAGAACCAACCGAACTAACTGCCAAAACCCCTGTGTTGAGCCTTAAACACAGTTAGGCTCCACCCCTGAGCTATCTTATTGGTCAGCCTATTAACCCTTTCTCTCCCCCCCCAAGTACGACATCTCCATAATGAGTGGGCAAACGCCACATTCTGGCATCCTTATTCCAGTAAAAGCAATTAGCCACTTTGAGGACTTTTGTCAAAAAGCAGACTAAAATGCATACTATGACTAAACTTGAGCTGGATTGATATTATTTCCATGGCACAATCGATGTCCCTGGCACTTTATGTGATCACGTAAGCTGGAAGATATAACTGTTGGAAATAGTTCTGGAAATAAGAAAGGGTAGAGGGAGGGAAAGAGAACTGAAGTGGACAAATGAAGTTAAACACATTAAGCTTCATTTCTCTTCACGCTGAGGTTTATGGGACTAAGATAATCAAAGGATTCATGGAAGTGGTAGGCTATTCAGTATCCATTAAGAAGGATACTCTGAGTTGCATCAAAATGTCATGGGTCTGAACTGGCCTCCAGTAACCTAGGCACAATTAAATCTATGCCTAATTCTCCTAAGCTACTTCAGGCCTACATAAGATGAACCCATAATTACAGATGGAAGGACCTGCCCATTTTAGTTCTATCAGGTTCTCATTTTTCCAATCCTAAATTCAGTTCTTCACATTTCTGCAGCAGTACATTTTTGTATGTAGTTTTGACTAATGTTCACATTTTTGCAAGCAATTTTTGTGTTATTTTCACTAACATATTCATTTTTATCCACATTTCCCCTTGATATATTCATTTTTGTATACATTGGTTGGAGAACTGTATGACACAATCAGACACAACGAGAGTGCAAGCCTCTTCAAGTTTTCTTAGAAGTGAGCTCCCAGGAAAGAGTGCATAATGACAGCATTGTAAGGTTGTCTGCTGTTCAAATTGCAGCTCGCCTTTGCAAAACACCTTTCAGGTTCCAACAGCAAAAAGTAAATGCTCTCACTCGGCTCAAATCCAAGAGGCATTTAAACTGCTGCTTTAGGGTGGATAATTAATTTAATAATAGTAATAGTACTATAGAAGCATTAGATATCATTTCCCAGTAAGATTTAACCTTACTACAAGACCACAATGGGCAGGGTGGTGCAGCCTTTTTTGCTGCTTGAGGACAAAGTGGGAAACGCCACCCTGCTCTTCTGCACCACCTATCCTGCTGCCTCCACTGCCAGCACGGCCACTGCATTACCCATCTCCACTGTTCCTACTACCACCCGCATTGGTGCCGATTACTGGTGAGATCTCACAAGGTATTTTACCATTAAAAGTATAAGCCAAACTGTCCTTATTTGCAAATAAGGCTCATGGGACAGAGTGAAACTTTTTTTTTTTAATCATTTTTATTGATTTTCCAATAAAAACAGCCAGTCAACATATCCACATCATAATCCAATTAAAAACAAGAAACTGAAATTTTAAAAGGACCAAATTGTAATTATTAATTTTTCCAGGCTCCCCATAGTCTGGACCTCTGAAGCATATCTCCAAATCTTCAGTCGTGCCTCTTCTCGTTGATTTCATATTTTCCGCCTTCTGGTCTTAACGCTTTAAAGTTCTCCATCCCTGGCTATGCGATTCCCAATCATGTCAAAAAATCGTATGTCCTTTCATCCACCGAATACAGCTTTATTTATAAATATATATTTTTTCAACTGTCTATTTACCAGCGCAGCTTGTCCTGGCTTCATTCCAATCTTCCAATCCAGGCTGTTGCCCAAGTTTATCCTTTGAAGTTTAACGACGCAGCATCTCGCAAGTTGTTAAATCACTCCAGAACAGAGTGAAACTTAATAGCCCAGTATGTCTGCTTAGGATTGCAGCTTAAGCCAATTGGATTGTTAAATTTCAGAAAGAGCCATTGCATTCTGGTGCTATCATGGAGGGGGGGTGTCTCCCCCCCCCCCAGCAAAAACATTGCAGTTTTGACTGTAAAGATCAGCTATAATTGAGCAGGTTCTGGAGCAGCAGAAAGTATTTCAGGTACATTCTAGCCCACAATTAAAATCAGCTAACTTATATTATTGTCTATAAACAACTTTGTATGGAATTGTTTTAGAAAGGTGTTTTTGTTTTGTTTTTTTTGCGGAAGGGAAACAGGGTTAAATAGCATAGAATTCTGTGTAAAAATTAATGCAGCCTGTGGGATGACAGTTCAAAGTGATAAATTGTCTTCTGTTTTTTTCTAGTAGAAAAGTGAAGAAGCAACATCACTTTGGAGTAAAAATAATCATTTGTTTTTATTTATTTCATTACAGTGGATGAAATTATTGCTATCACATCAGATGTTTCAGGGCAAGAAAATGTGGCTTGGTTTACTCACGTGCTGAAAAACTGGATTGGTTTTGGATACCTGGGAGAAAATGCAAGCTACGTGGGTTACATTTTCGGACTGCTATTAACGCTTTTAATGCTGTCACAGGCAATATATATCTCCATGTTTTGCATGATGTACATTTTTAGCTTTCTTCTCTATATTTACAAGAAAATGAATAACAGAGTTCAAGACACTTCTACTGACGCATGGGTCACACCAAGAAGGTGGCTTGCAAGTGCTTTGGATATAATTGGAAAGATATGGCATGGTAAGCAAGTATTTCCTTAAATAACAATAGTGACAATGTTATCAGTGCAGGCTTGTCCTTTACACCAAATGAGGCTCTGTCCCAGCAGCCTTAGTATGCCATCAGCCAGCCCACATTTTCCTGCCCTCTTTCTTATATCTAGTCCAGAGGGTGGCACAAGCTGCCAGCTTCCTCTTTCTTAGCCCCAGCGTTACCATGGAGCATAGGGGCACTCTTGACCTCTCTGCCTTCTGCCTTAGCAGTTCAAACAGGCACCAGTGACCACTGAATGCTATAAACCACTTCACTTCAGAAAACTGAGCTTCAGGATTAAGCTCTGAAGCAAGAGCATGAATATTGTCACTGTACAACCAGGAACTCTGGGGTCAATATCATCAGCAGAAAAAGTAACCTCAGCTTGAAATGGTTTTTATAAGCCTGACAAAATGAATAAGTCCATACCTGTGATTAAATTACAATAAACGGGGGGCCAGATGAACCTTCCTGATAAGGGTATTCCACAAGTAAAGGTACTCTCTGAAGTTTCCATTTGCTTCAGCTTCTTCTGGTGGAAGGAGGCTTCCTTGACAAATACCTCAGCACACAGGCAGACTGCTGCAAGGCCACTCAGCCCTAAACATTTCAGGGAATATCATGAAAGAAGGGAATCTGATTTTCAGTAAAGGTGCTGTAGGTAACAAACCTGGGGCCATCACATAGAAAGAGCTGCAGGACAACATAGCATATGAAAAGATGAGCCATATAATCTGATCCTAAAACTCAGTTCTTCTTAAAGCTGCACCAAAACCCCCACTTAACTCCATTTTGCAATATCATTCACATGTGGCAAAATTGGTGGACATTTTGGAGATGTGGCAGGGATCGAAGCAAAAGGCAGGGAAGAAGTGTGATGGCAGAAGCATTTCTCTAGGTGGCTAGTGGCCTCTATTTTTCCTCCACAAATCCCCTGGGACAAATTGCTAATTGTTTTCCTCCAATCATTATGTAACATGTATGACAGCAATAGTAATCTGTTGCATTTTGTGCTCTTTTCAGGTTATGAAGTTATTGGCATAGAGCATATACCAGAAGGACCAGGGGTAATTGTTTATTATCATGGAGCTTTTGTTGTGGATTATATCTTCTTTGTAGCTAGATTATATACACTGACTGGAAGACACATCTACAGTGTAGCTGATAATGGGTTGTATCTACTACCAGGTAAAATACTTTTACTTTATATTTAGAATTAGAATATTGTAAATGACTCTAATACTGTGATGCGTCATAAAGAATATCTATCTGCTGGCTCTGTAATATCATTTCCGCCCTAGAAGACTTCCAAATGCAAAGTATGAGCTTCCACTGAAAGGATACAATAAAGTGTTGTTAGGGCAGACAATGGTCAACTCTAATTCGCAAATACAGTGGTACCTCGGTTGTCGAATGTAACACATTCCGGAAGACCATTCAACTTCCGAAACGTTCGACAACCAAGGTGCAATGGGCGGTCGGCAAATTCCATTGAGAAAATGGAGAAACTTACCTCGGAAGCCGTTTGACTTCCGAAGAACGTTCAAAAATGGAAGCATTCACTTCCGGGTTTTTGGCGTTCAGGTTCCAAATCATTCGGCTTCCAAGATGCTCGAAAATCAAGGTTCCACTGTAGTATGTTAGACCCGGTGGTGGCTGGTAGCATTTTGACTTGGTAGGGCAGCAATTTATAACCTTGCTGATACATGTGCCATTACATGTGCTGAGTATAGTTCTATAGGATTACACTATAAGAATTTGGTGGATACATTTGCATTGTAGCATGTACCAGAGTGTTACTCTCTCATACTTATATTTCAGTTAAACAATATACGTCAGAAAGATTGCCTACCATAGGGCTATACCTTCTCTGTTTCGATTTTTCAGAAAAAAGTCTATTGCTAGAATACGTGAAAGAATGGAAGAAATGTCTACAAAGTCTACACATCCTAATTATCTTACTTTGAAAGACTGCCAAGCAGTCTTAATGGGGCCACATCACTGGAAACTGTATAATATCTATCTATACTATAAATAATACTGATAAAAATGTGATTTGTTCTGGGTGTATTTTTCAGGTGTCAGATCAGTTCTTGATTTATGTGTTTGCCTAAAAGGCAATAAAGATGAATGTGTGAAAATTCTGAAGAAGGGTCATTTATTGGGGATTGCACCTGGTGGACTTAGAGAAGGAAACTTTAGTGATGAGAACTACAACCTGGTGTGGGGTAAACGTACAGGTTTTGCACAAGTGGCTTTACAGGCCAAAGTGGTAAGTAGCCTATTTGTAGTAATTATACATTGCCCACAGTATTGTTGATTGTGTGCAGTCAGTTGGTATTAAAACACACTTGTACTGAAGAAATATGGCACAAATTTTACAGACATGGAGACTGAAATATATGGTTGGCTTCCAGTAAGCAGTGAGTTCACCATTCATTTCTAAATAGTAGCAAAAAGTGTTTTTACAGCTGGTCTTTAACACATTATTGCCATGATAAAGTGTTCAATTAAGTTGTACTGGGTTTTTTAAAAACTGAATATTTTGTTGACAGTTTTTGGGTTTTTTTAAGATATACAATATGTGGTTCTTTTTGCCAACTCTTCAGTTTCTGAGCACTTATTTTCATGGATTTATCACTGCTTACTAAGCCAAAGCCTAAAACTGGGCTTCTTGCAGTCAAAAATATGTTGAGACTACTTTTTCTGGGCCAGCAGGGCTGGGGAGGGTCTTATAATTTTAAAATTTAAAAAGTCTAGGAGCCAGTTAAAATGTTTTGTTTTTATCTTTCCTTTCCTTTTTTGAAAGCCCATCATTCCTATGTTTACACAAAATCTTCGAGAAGGATACAGAACATATGGGAAAATATGTGAGCTTCACTTTTTATGTTCCTTTCTATATATCATTGTCACCCTTAATGTAACTTCTGCAATGCACGTTATCGTCCTCATGAATTGGCAACATATCCCATTCATGAAATATATGTATATCTGATGTATGCTGCTTCTGAGTTTCATTAGGAAGTAGAGTTTGAATAGGTTCACTCTAAAGACCACCTAGGACAATGCTTGCTGTCCATCATGAATCAGTGGTAAGCTGAGGTAGCTAGCAGCTGACACACAGCAACCAATGAAAAGCGTTCAGGATCGCTTTTGGTCAGTGGAGATTGCCAGGGCTGACACAAGGCACTTTGCTAGCTGAAGCGAGGGGCAAGATTATGATTCCATCCCTTTGGTCTTGTACAGAATCCTACTGGACTGTCAGTCGAATCTTACTTGGCGTGTCCTCCACTGCACCTGAGGACATCAGACTAGCTTCTTATTATTTATTTAATTTGTTGGTAGTTTTATCTTGCTCGGGGCAACCCAAAGTGACTTAGTTTAGAGGTTCCTGGGCTGGCTGCAAGTGTACACAGCTGCATCCTCCACCCCTTGTCAACGCTCATCTGCAGCTCTGCATGGTGCCTGAATTCTGCCCACTCACAGTGCTGCACTGTGACATCTGCAGGTGTTTCATGAGCAAGCTGATACATGCAGAGTGTTTGCTGGAGTGTATGGCCTGCGCTGGCTGAATGTGTGCTTGCTTGCTTGCTTGCTTGCTTAGTCAGGAGCCGTTTCCAATAGCACTGCCAGTGGCACATTGGAAGGAAGCAACTAGGCAAGATAGCCAGCCAGCCAGGTCAGTCAGCCAGGTCAGCCCAACCACTTGCGTTGCCATTGTTAGGGCACTGGTTCAGGAGGATGAGAATGATGGAAGTGCTCAAACAGAATATCTAGGACAGCAAATGCATCCCCACCATGTCTGCCACCTGAGGCAACTGCATTACTCAGCCTAATGGTAGAGCTGAGCTTAGAGGTTGAATTTGCTTAGTTCTGTGTGATGTGGCCCCTAAGACACTGTGTGGCTTAGGGTGCCGCTGAACCTAGGACTGTGGTTAAGCAAACTCTTTCTTAATCACAATCTGTAGCCAATAACTAATATTGGTTAAGGAGAAGGCCTATCCTCAACCCCCGACTCAGACTGCTCGCTAAGCCAAACCTCGGTTTAGCTGATGCCACACACTGAGTTAAAAGATCAAAGCTGCGGTGAGAAGCCTGCATGTTTGGGCTAAGGTGTGGTTTGGCAAAATAGCTTATATACATAAAGATTTCCACATCTGTGGGAACTCATTTTCTCTCTCAAAATGTTTTTCTCTTTCAAATGCAGCACTACTGAAGTGGCTGTATGAGAAGACTCGGATATTTATCCTTCCCATTTATGGAGGGTTTCCAGTCAAATTCCGCACATATATTGGAGAACCCATCCCATATGATCCGGATATCACTGCTAAGGAGCTGGCTGAAAAAGTAAGTTACCTCTACACTCAAAAAACTGTCTACATATATTGGTTTCTTGTGCAAACCACAATTCAGTTTTGAATCATTTTCTGCATATGAAGTTACTGCTTATATAAGACCAAAGCTGGTATTCATTTTACGTATTTTATGCATGTTTGTCATTCAGCCTCTCTTTTTTATTTAAGTTATTGACACTAAGCAAAAGCTAGCTAACCCAAAGAGTTCTATAACTGACTAAATGGACCCCCAATCTGAAATTACAGAACTTTTAGCTACATTTCTGCTTAGACAGAGATCGCGCTCCTCAGGACTGCTTTACAAAAAACAATTTCATATGCAAATCCACTTGCCGCTTCTGGGGAACCAGATCATTATCTTTCCCCACCCATTGGAACAACTTTCACAGGTGGGTAGGGTTACATGATGATGACAGCAGGTGACTGATAGGTGAACAGTCTTGCCCACCTGCCAAAGTTGACCTGCAGGGTGAAAAGGAGGGGCCTGCTTCATCAGCTCATTCCCTGGAGAAAGCATGTTGGTGAAATGGCATCCAGCAGGATTGAACCCTTGCCAGTCAGCTGACATCACCCATGGGCAAACCGGACCCCCTCATGGCCAAGATTGGCCTGCAGGCTAGAGGATCCCCACTCCTGTTGGGTTGAAATCACGACAGACGAATGGTGGGTGTCAAAGGAGAGACGTCTGCCGGGACAAGTCCCGGGAACTCTCTTTTATTGAATATTACAAACATTGCCACAGGTGTGCTTGTGGCTGATTGGTTGATACAAACACAAAGCATCTTGTTGCTGATTGGTTAACATAGGTACAAGGCGGGCATTACATATTACATTAATCAGTGATAGTTCAAAAGACTGGGAGCGGAGCTGGAACTAGACAGGCATGAATCCTCCTAATTAAATTATAACTAAAGATTGATATTGAGAGAACATAACATGAAGGAATACAACAATCACGTTCCGTAAATGTGGTCAGCAAAGCATTAAGAACAGGTCAGGATACACTGTTTCATGAACTCAATGGGAACTGTTCAGAACATTCTCAGACTTATGTGCAGAGGCAAAAACTTCCCAGAATGTAAGAGAGAAAAGAAGCAATAGTGCTCATAGTAAGCATAGAAAGATTTCATAGTAAGACTTCCCACAATGCAACAGTTATGTGCAGTAAGAGAACTGCAGAAAGAGAACTTCACAGTGAGAGAACTGCAGAAAGAAAACTTCCCTTCATCCCCCTTACAATTCTTGTTTGCGAGGCATTCCAGGTGGATAAGGCAAAAATACTTCGGGATTAGTGGTGTGCCAGCGAATGCCCGAAATAAGCCTGCCAGGGTCGATGGGACAAAAATACTTCAGGATACGTGGTTTGCCAGCGCATGCCCAAAATAAATCCGCCCACATCTCCCCTATAGTTTACTGTTGGTGTTGCCATTTCGCAAAGTAAGCAGCAAGGAGTTTACTGGGTGGTTGGGGGGGAGAGAGAAGCCGAGAGAAAAGACTCATGAGGCTGGGAACGCATTGAAGGAAACAGCATAACAAAATGAGGATAGAAATTATGAAAATAGCATATTGAAAAAGATTACGAAGCCAAGTAAGGTTTGGCAACCAAGCGGTAAGCCACTGGGTGAAAGAATCCCAGAGGCCAGGAAAACCAATGTCCTGTTTAATGTGATGTGTAAGATTTTGCAAATGAGAGATTTGACTTTGAATGGCTCTTGAATTGTCAGTAATATTGAAACAACACATGTCATTCACTTGTTCACAGCCATAATGATGAAGCATCAGCAAGTAATCTATAGCACGATTTCGTAAAAGTCCATTATATAGTTCACTGTTCTTTATTCAAAAGGGGGTTATATAATGTAAAAGGTCCATTTTGTAAAAGGATTTTGTAAAAGTCCATTGTGGAGTGCACTGTTCTTTATTCAAAAGGTGAAGGGCTTGTGAAATATAATTCAGAGTTTTTGCTGCATAACAAGCTAAAGAAGTAATGTTCATACGATTCCGTACAGCCAATCCAGGGACTCCTAAGAGAGAAGCAACTAAAGAGATATATTCAAACCTACTGAGAAGAGAGACAAAAGCATCACAATCATTAGTCAATTCAGTATTGCAGCGATAAAATGATGGACAAACGGCTTAAACAGCAAGGTGTGCCATGGCTGATGTATTGCTGGAATGTAATTAAACGTATAGCCAGGACACGACCAGAAGATTTCCAGTTGAGGGGAAGTGCAAGCTTACTCATTAAATTGAATGGTAGCTTGTAATTGTTGTAGTAAGTCTCTTCCCCACAGATTGAGGTGGATTTTCAGCACACAGGGCTGGATGTAAGCAATGGTTTCAGAGCTATCAGGCAGAGAAACAGGCAGCCACTGTACGCTTTTGGAAGAGGTTGGGGGTCACCCACACCCCAGACTGCAGAAGCAGACTCAAGGGGCCACGTGGGGTCCCAGCAACTACTAGAAATTACAGAAACGTCTGCGCCTGTGTCAATCAAGCCTTCCAGCACAATACCATTGATTTTATACTTACGAAGAAGTTTCTTCTCACCAATCCTCTGGACTACAGCTAACAGCTGTGGAGGGAAAGAAGAGAGCTCGTGCAAATTAGTATCCATAATAGAAGCAGTAGGATGAGAAGGGAGCACCACCAAATGCGCCCAAGACTCACCCTTTTTAATTGCATGGGCATATGGCTCCAGAGTTGAACCATTATTGTGCCTACATAGTCAGGATCCAGAACTCCAGGAATAACCTGGATTCCTTCCTTTGCCGCAGAAAATTTGGGTAAAATTAAACCTGCGACTTTAGGAGGCAGGGGACCTGCCAATTGAGTGGGCATAAGCACAATTTCACCAGGTAGAACAGAATCTTTGGTCTCTTGATTGATCAAATCAATTGCAAATTCAGAGGGTGTGTTCTTTGAAAAGTTTGCAGCAGCAGAAATTAAAGGCGGAAAGCTCTCTAATTTTCCTGGGCTCTCTAATTTTCCTGGCCCGAGAGCGAGGCCGGGATGGAGTTTCCCGAACTCCTGCATTGATTAGCCCAATGATAGCCTTTGCCACATTTCGGGCATTTTTTAGAAGGTCTAGCCTTAGAGGCAGAACCATCCTTGTGTGCCCCCCCGCCAGGGGCTCTGCATTGCTTGGCAAAATGGCCTGGGCGCTTGCAATTAAAGCAGTTACCAGTAGGCTTAGTGGTTGCTTGGATTGCGCCGGCAAGCAAGGACATCGCATGGCTCTGGCTACCGACATCCGCACAAGCTTGAATCATATCGGCCAGTTCATATTTAGGGCGATGTATGATTGACTGCAAAGCTTTCTTGCAATCAGTGTTTGCGTTTTCAAAGGCCAATTTTTTCATCAATTCATTTTGAGCAGTGGTGTTATCAATCTGCCTAGTGACTGATTCTTTCAATCTATCTATAAACTGATGGTATGGCTCCGAATGCTGTTGCTTAATATTTACAAAGGAGCTCAGCGGTTGCCCAGAAACAGGGACTTTCCGAAAGGCGCGTTGTACACAGAGTCGCGGTGCGAACAAAATGTACAGGTGTCAGTGTTGCTTGGGCAGTTATATCAGCAAACTGACCAGCACCATAAAGTTCATTGGCAGTATGTTGAGGATCAGACAGGGCTGAAGCGCTATGTTTAAATTCACTCTCAAACACCACATACTGAGCAGGGGACAAAAGCATGCGCATAAGGTCTTTCCAGTCCTGAGGTAGCATAATGTAACCAGTTGCTATGCCTTCTAGCATCCCTGTCACATAAGAGGATTTCAGACCAGAATCAGCAATGGCTTTCCTTAATTCCCTCATTACAGAATAAGGAAGCGATTCATAATAAATCTGCTGTTGAGCAGTTCCAGGGTTTGAATAAGAGATAGGGAAAGCAGACGGCATTTCACCTGGCCACTCAGACTCCTCCTCTAAGGCCAGGTGCCCTTTTGGCCTTGCCAGCGCGCGCGCCGCACGCACAGCTCCTATCGCGCAACCCGGGGCTGTGGCAGGAGGAGGAGGGATGGGGGGGGAGGAATCAGGCTGAGGCGGAGGGATGGGGGGGGAGGATGCAGGCTGAGGAGGGTGAGAAGCAGGGAGGGATTGGCTGGGAGAAGGAGGTAAAAGTTTCGGGTAGGGTGGGGGATTGTCTGCAATGGCCAGAAGAGGAGACGCCTGGGGTCCCAATTGGGGCCCTAATTTAGCAACGGCATCAGCACATTTCTGCCAAGTGAGCAGACAATGAATCGGAGCCCTAGGTTCTGCAAAAGGGTCTTTCCGATCTTTTGCCAAGTCTCTACGTCCAAAGATCCAGCCTCTGGATAAAAGACGCATTGGCAATTTATCTCACATAGCAATTGTTCAATTTCTTTTAAGGAAATATTAACACCCACCTCCCGCTGTCTAACTAAATAAAGCAACTCTTTAGCATGCTCTTTCTGGAGCTTAGTCAAGTCCCCTCCCATACTCACGAAGTAGCGCGCTGAGACTTTTCCAGTCGGGTGAAGTATGAGGTTTGGCTGCGTAAGGGATCTGGCACGTCGGGGTCACCAGATGTTGGGTTGAAATCACGACAGACGAATGGTGGGTGTCAAAGGAGAGACGTCTGCCCGGGACTTGCCCCGGGCACTCTCTTTTATTGAATATTACAAACATTGCCACAGGTGTGCTTGTGGCTGATTGGCTGATACAAACACAAAGCATCTTGTTGCTGATTGGTTAACATAGGTACAAGGCGGGCATTACATATTACATTAATCAGTGATAGTTCAAAAGACTGGGAGCGGAGCTGGAACTAGACAGGCATGAAACCTCCTAATTAAATTATAACTAAAGATTGATATTGAGAGAACATAACATGAAGGAATACAACAATCACGTTCCGTAAATGTGGTCAGCAAAGCATTAAGAACAGGTCAGGATACACTGTTTCATGAACTCAATGGGAACTGTTCAGAACATTCTCAGACTTATGTGCAGAGGCAAAAACTTCCCAGAATGTAAGAGAGAAAAGAAGCAATAGTGCTCATAGTAAGCATAGAAAGATTTCATAGTAAGACTTCCCACAATGCAACAGTTATGTGCAGTAAGAGAACTGCAGAAAGAGAACTTCACAGTGAGAGAACTGCAGAAAGAAAACTTCCCTTCACACTCCTGTAGAAGAAAAATGACATTGCACTACAAAGTATGGCAAATGCACACATATATACAGTGGTACCTCAGGTTACAGATGCTTCAGATTACAGACTCTGCTAACCCAGAAATAGTACCTCGGGTTAAGAACTTTGCCTCAGGATGAGAACAGAAATTGCGCGGCGGCGGTGCAGCAGCAGCAGGAGGCCCCATTAGCTAAATTGGTACCTCAGGTTAAGAACAGTTTCAGGTTAAGAACAGAACTCCAGAATGAATTAAGTTCTTAACCACTGTATTGGGTTGCATATACACTTGTGTGTTTGCACAGCATAGTGCCCACTGAACAAACATACTTCATTACTACAGAGGTCAATTACATTTAAGTAATACTCAGAGTCCATCAATTTTATTGGGTCTGCTCCAACTTCACTGGATACCACTGATGCTTCTGCAGCCGAAGGTGATTTTATTTTTTGTTCTTATGCAGAAAAATTCTTCCTTTTCCATTACAGTCATACCTTGGTTGTTGAACGGAATCCGTTCCGGAAGTCCGTTCGACTTCTGAAAACGTTCGACAACCAAGGTACAGCTTTCGATTGGCTGCAGGAGCTTCCTGCACTCCAGCGGAAGCCGTGGAAGTCCCATTGGACGTTCGGGTTCCAAAGAATATTCGCAAACCGGAACACTCATTTCCAGGTTTGCTGCATTTGGGAGCCAAAGTACGACTGTAATGATATTGCTACCTGTAAATACCGTTCTTCCAAATATTGAATATAATTTCATGTCTTTTCTTTTAACAGACAAAGATTGCTCTTGAAAATATTCGAAACAGACACCAAAAGAGACCAGGAAATATATTAAGAGCCCTCTTAGAACGATTTGATAAATATCACAAAGAGAATTAGTCTGTCCGCTTTGGATGTTCTGGTGGATGACTTATGCCAGGAATGAGACATGGTGTGTTTGTCCCTGTTGGTTCTGCTGGACCTCTTGGTGGGTTTCCTTGGTGGTATGCTTCTGGGCAGACTTGCTGATATGGGACTTGGAGGCACTGTTTTACAGTGACTCTGTTTCTTCCTGTAGGGGCAAACCCAGAAGGTGGTGCTGGAGAACTCCTATTTGATGCCTTAGCTGTTGGCCTGTGGGGTCCCTCAAAGTTCTATTCTGTCCCCCATCCTATTTAACATGTACATGAAACCTCTGGAGGAGGTTGTCCAGAGTTTCAGGGTTAAGTTGATGACACCCACCCTCTGTCATGGATGCTGTAGTTGAGATTCTTGCATTGCAGGGACTTGGACTATATGACCCTTGGGAGTCCCTTCCAACTCTACAATTCCCTGGTTCTCCTTTCCACCTAAAGAAACTGTCTCAGTTCTAAACCAGTATCTGGCATCAATAATGGACTGGATGAGGGTGAACAGATTGAAATTTAATCCAGATAAGACACAGGTGCTCTTGGTCCGTCAGAAGGCAGAACAGGGAATGGCAATTCAGCCTTTGCTGGATGAGGTAGCACTTCCCCTGAAGACACAGGTTTGCAGTTTGGGCATGCTCCTGGACTCAGCCCTGAACATGGATGCCCAGGAGTGCATTTGCACTGATAAAGCTACTATACCAGCTGCACCCGTTCCTTGAGACGTCTGATTTGGCCACAGTGACAACATGCCTTAGTTACATCCCTTTTGAATTACTGCAACATGCTCTACCTGGGGCTGCCTTTGAATAGTGTTCAGAAACTTCAGCTAGCTAAAAAAAACTGCAGTGAAATTGTTGACCAGGGCTGGTTATGGGGAAGAGACAATTCCCTTGCTAGAACAGATCACTGGCTGCCACTATGTTTCCAGGTGCAACTCAAAGTGCTGGATATGAACTTTAAAGCCCTATACAGTGGACGCTCGGGTTGCGAACATGATCTGTGCGGGATGCACATTCACAACCCGCAGCATTCGCAACTTGCAGCGGCGCATCTGCACACGCGCTGGTTGCGATTTGGCGCTTCTGAGCTTGCGCAACCGCCAAAACCCAGAAGTAACCCGTTCCGGTACTTCCGGGTTTCGGCAGTCCGTAACCCAAAAAGCGTCTGTAACCTGAGGTATGACTGTACAGCTTTAGGTCCAAGCTATCTGAAAGACTGTATTCCCTCATATGAACCTGCCTGGATTTTGAGATTTTTCAGGAGATGCCCTTATCTTGGTCCCCGCACCGTTAGGGGGACGGTTGGCAGGGGTGGTGGAGAGTGCCTTCTCAGTGTCAGCCGCCACACTTTGAACTCCCTTCCTAGAGAAGCCAGACTAATTCCCTCCATGTTGTCCTTCTGTCAGCAAGTGAAGACTTTCTCATTCCAATAGGCTTTGGGGAACTGACAGCTTTTAATGAAAGGGCTGGCACCATGTTGTTTTATTGCAATTATTGTTATGGATTTAATAGTTTTTTTATAATCAATGTTTAATTGTTGTTGTTGTTGTTGTTGTTGTTGTTGTTTTAATTATGGGCCTTTTGTGTGTTTTGGTGGTTCTTATTTTAATTTCTAAGCCACCTTGAGTGCTATCAGGGAAAAAGGTGGGGTATAGATAAAATATCATCATCATCATTAGAACTGTATAGTTGGAAGGAACCTCAAGTGTCATCTAGTCCAACCCCTGCAATGCAGGAATCTCAGCTAAATCAGATATGTCAAATGGTCATCCAATTTCTGCTTTAAAATCTCCAAGGAGAGTCCACCACCTCTCATGGGAGTCAATGCATTGGGTTGTACCCCACTGAAATTTATAGAACGTTGTCATATCCATTAATTTCTACTCTTAGTAGTACTAGCATTAGATGCAACAACCTGCTTTATCTTATAAATTAATATTTCATTCTTTTAAAACCTATCATTATGCAACCACTGTACGTTTTGAAACTATTAAAATGTGTACTTCTCCCCAGCTTAAGGCTATTATAAATTATGCAACAGAGCACTCATGCCATGTGATTCCCTGAACTCTATCTAGTTTAGATATGAGGTGTAAAATTTTCTTGGGTAGGCAGTCATTATAATCTGTTATCAGTATCAGGCTGTACTTTGCAAAGAAGCAAACAAAACAGCTATCCATACAATTACATCACCAAATTATATGATGCAGTTGGAATTAAGGTGTGCTTGGAAGTAACATCCACCAATTTTTAAAGGAGTGGTTGTGCAGTAGAGCCAATGTCTTCATAGGTGTGTGTAGGATTGCAGCCTTGGATTTGAGCTGCAATATAATCATACATGAACCTTATAGTCCAGCCCCCCACAAGGTCTGAGGGACAGTGGACCAGCCCCCTGCTGAAAAAGTTTGCTGACCCCTGGTTTACAGGGATTAAAACAAGCAAGACTGCAATAAAATAACACAAAAAACAATCAATACAACACCATTATAAAATCACAAATTATTATAAAACAAGAAACTCCATTTAAAAGGTGGGGAACTTAGTAGCAATAATTCATTATAAAATTGAGGTCAGAGGAATAAAATCTACAGGGTAGTAGAACCAGTGTAAAACCAGTGTAAAACATAGCTTAAAAGGTCTAAGAAAATAAAAAGCTATTTGTCTTGCTCAAGAAAGATATTACAGCAATTGCATGGTGTGCCTCTCTGACAATGGCATTCCACAGCCAAAGGACAGGCTTTCTTACATTGTTATGAGATCACTTTACCATAATTTTGATGTAACCTATGCATGGAATAGAAGGCTGGAAATCCAGTCATTGAGAGACACAGGAGGAAAGGCACAGCCAGGATTTTTGTTGGGGGGGCAGGCTTTTGTTAGGGGGGGGCGGAACCTCATATTTGTATTGACTTGTATTGATTTTAGTGGATTGGGGGGCAGCTACCCCCCCCTGCCCCCCCCCAGATACGCCAATGCACAGGGCAGCCTACACCATCACAACCAAAATCCAGGTGAAGCAAATACTTAATAAAATTAATAGACTCCTTTGCGGGGGGGGGGGGAGCTTGCCTTGATGTGCTCCTTGTACTGTTTCATTTCCTTAATAAAGAAACTAACTACAAGTTAGCTTTGTGTCTGTCTCTCTGACCTGCTCTTCCTGTCAGCCCCATGATACACCTGAAAATAATGACAATCTGGTAGTGATCATATAGTGGTTAATACTCTGCATTGTGGAAATAATGACAATGAGGAAGTGCCCTGATTTTAAACCACAGAGCCTAGGGCTCGCCAATCAGAAGGCTGGCGGTTCAAATCCCCACGACAGGGTACAGGGTGAGCTCCCGTTGCTCAGTCCCTGCTCCTGCCAACCTAGCAGTTCGAAAGCACGTCACAGTGCAAGTAGATAAATAGGTATCACTCCGGCAGAAAGGCAAATGGCGCTTCCGTGCACTGCTCTGGTTCGCCAGAAGCGGCTTAGTCATGTTGGCCACATGACCCGGAAGCTGTTTGGGGAGAAACGCTGGCTTCCTCGGCCAGTAAAGCGAGATGAGCGCCGCAACCCCAAAGTCGTCTGCGATTGGATTTAACTGTCAGGGGTCCCTTTACCTTTACCTTTAAGTTTCCTATGTATTTCTATGCATGCATTTAAAAGTGAAAGCTTGATTTATTTGGTTTAACTAATCACAATTTAGTCTCCTCGTGCCCTCCATCTTTCCCAACATCAGGGTCTTTTCCAGGGAGTCTTCTCTTCTCATGAGGTGGCCAAAGTTTTGGAGTCTCAGCTTCAGGATCTGTCCTTCCAGTGAGCACTCAGGGCTGATTTCCTTAAGAATGGATAGGTTTGATCTTCTTGCAGTCCATGGGACTAGGTTACTGGAAAAAAACTGTGTTAGGAGGGGCAGTTAACTAAGTACAACTGAAGCCCCAAGTAAGAAGGGGAGGGAAGTCAAGTCAAATGCTAATGGATTACAAATGAATCAAATAAATAAGTATGCATTTGTGTGTGTGTGTGTGTGTGTGTGTGTGTGTGTTTCCTTTTATTATGTTTTAAATATATATTGTTGAATTACAGGAAAATCAAGTTGTTACAATGTGGTATGATGAATGTATGTCTAAAGAAACCAATAAAAATGGACTGGGGGCGGGGGGGGGAGGATACAAGTTGTCCCATACAGGGCTGATTCACTTCTTCTTAGAATCACTTCCCTCTCATTTCCTTCTCTATTCTCAGTTGTTGTTTTATTAGCCCGGCCGCTCCTGTGGCAATGCATTGCGTGGGCAGGACCACTTCAGGCTGCAGGTATGTTTCAATGCTACAGAGCAGCTACATGCCAATTAAGTGGGATGGGGACCAGGCTGGCTGAATCCGCCTCTTATGTTATGATTTTTTTTTTCCTGCAAGGGGCACTGAAAGATGCCAATCTCCACCTGCCTTCTGAAGTGGTACAGCCCAGCGCGGGGGGGGGGGGTTCATATTATGTTTCACACAAAGCCTTCCTCCACCGTATCAGTGGCGCGTGACGCAACAGGAAAGCCTGGAAGCGGCCGAGAGGCGCAGCTGCCCCTGGTTGTGAGGAGAGGTTTCCTCAGAACGCCTCCTTCCCCTTCTGCAACCGGACGACGGCGCGTAACGTCGCACTGCATTGCGGCTCCCCCCCCCCACACACACACACGCTAGCGGCCCGCAAATTCCCTACCTGCCCCCCGCCCCGCCATAAAGAAACCCGCGCTGGGCCCAAGCGCGCGAAACCATTTGGCGAGGCCCCTGCGCGCGCCTCGGCGTCTCCGCCGCGCGCCAGGAATGGTGGGGCTGAACCTTTGATGGAGCGCCGCGATCCGAAGCCGCGCGAAGGTGAGTCAGCGGCGACGGCGCGACACTCGCGGAGCCCAGGGGGAGCTTGGTCGGCCTCTGGCGCGAGGGAGGCGGGGAGGAGCCCAGCTCGGAGGGAGAGGGATGCCGAGGCGGAACGAAAGAGACAGGGAGCTGAGGGACGCGGCGCGGGCTGGAAGCCGTTTCCGCAAGGCGGCTGCTCAGGAACCAGGTTGAGACCAACCTGGGAGTGATTCCCACGGAACTCAGTGGGAGTAACTTACGAGTAGGCACATGTAGCATAGCACGGTCATCCGTTCCCTGGCTGGGGCTGTTGAAATTGGACACCATCGAAAAGGGATAACAAACCACGTCAGACATGATGCTTCCAAGTTGGCCTGCTTGGCCTCTTGCAGGTGGCAGGTGTAAGGCCTGAATCTCCAGCTGGGTTTATTATTATTATTAACAACAATAATAATTAACAAGAACAATAGCAAAGCATTAAGAAAACTGTGTGTGCAGTTTACAAATTTCAGCTGGGTGCAAATAGAGGCGATCTGCCCTTCTCTACCCCCCTCTCCCAATTATCTGCAAAGCTGCCCTGTGACATCACCAGGGGCTGGGCACTAAAGTGTCAGGGTCTGGGATGCTCCTGGCCTGGCAGTCCTAAAATGGCTTTGATTTTCTGGTCAGCATGACACCTGCTGTGATAATTGCACTGCATTAACCACAAGTTTCTTTTCTATATCTAGGGCCAACATTAAGAAACTTCTTTTTCGGTCAAGTTGCTTTTTAAATTTTTTAGACGGAAGATGATCAGTTCATTTTCTTATGTTGAACAAGAAGAAGTGACGTGGCTCATGGACCTCCTGAAAAATTGGATGTATCCAAATAATTATCTAGGGATTTTCACAGACTATACAGTGTACCTCTTGGTGATATTAACACCATTCATAATTCTGCTGTCACCTGTCTTAGTCATTCTTGGATGTATTTACCTTTCTAATTTTCTTCTGAATATTTACAAGATAAAGATTAAGGTAAAAGGAGATGATTATCTCAGTAAGTCATGGGACACTGGAAGGAGGGCAGTGCTTTATCTTTGGGACATGTATGGCACAGTGTGGCATGGTAAGCACCATTTTCTCCCCCTTTCAAATTGCACAGGGACAACTTGGGTAATAGGATTATTTATTAATCATGAATTTAAAAAGTATTATTTATTAAAGTTTTTGTTAGAAATACTGCAGAAATCGATTTTAATAATATTCACTTGTATCATGCAGTTCAAGTGCTTAAAGCACTTTTCATACTTTTATCTCAGTAAGCTTAACAACAGCCCTGTAAGCTGAACTGGTAGCATTATCGACTTACCTAAAACTGTGTAGGCAGCAGTCTTTTATATGTTTACCTGGAAGAAGTCCTACTGACCTCAGTGGTGCTTACTAATGAGTATGGGATTGTATCACTAGGCTACAATTCTATTCATACTGACCTGAGAGTTAGCCATATTGAACTCAATGGGTGTTAGGAGTAGACCTCTATCTAGCTACTATTTATTTATTTATACCCTGCACTTTAGCTGAAAATGTGAGTAGACATCCATTTATTTATGTTCCCAGAGTGGCTTACAAAAGTCACCAGCAAAGCCGTCCTTTTCCTCAGACACACAACTTCAAATGACAAAAACAGACAAGGAAAAAGGCATGAGGAGGGAATAGTTAAAAGGCAGGTCAAGTATCAGTTCTCACAGTTACATTTCTTGCAGTAACCGGCTGGGATGAAAGGTAGCTTGATAAGAGTGGCTGCCAACGAGTGACACTTGAGGAAGGGCCAAAGAGGTGACAGAATAGCCCTGTTTCTCTTCTCTCCCTCTGCTCTGCTTTATGGCACTTTGGTACTTGACTACATGAACAGGGACTTGGGTTATCATTATTGTATGAAGATTCCATACATCATTAAAATCTTTTTTATTTTTTACATGATGGAATGGTAATTTAGTAAAAGTACTGACATCCCTGGAAGTGAAAGCATTATTCAAACCACCACAAGATGCGTACCAGATACATCTAGAGTCCCTGTGCTACATGAATGTAGGGTCTCAGCAAATGCAGTGGGTTTCACTTCCCAGGGTGGAACAGTGGAGATACCCAACAGTAGGTCTGTGCACCACCTGTGACCGTGAGGCATCACCATTCCCAGACTACAAGCCCCAAATTTCAGTTTCTTTGGTTTTAGGCTGGCTCTCAGAGCACCCCTCACATGCAAACAGCCCAGTACCATAGGAACAGGGGAGATGGCCAAACAGGAGTTTCATACCTGTCATCAGATTGCCCAGTTGGCTGTACTTTTGGCTATTTGAGAGGTGTGTAAGCTTCAGCCTTGATCAGGGTTGGGTTGAGAACCAAGAAGGGGTGAAGTGTCTGAGAGGAATTCACTGTTGGGCTTTTACAGTTGCTCTGTCAGCACAAGTATTTCTGCCTGCCAGATGGAATGATCCCTCCTCTCCTCCCCACACATGATGCTCCAGGGTTTCTCTTGACCCTCCAGAGTAGATTGGTGGAAGTAGAACAAGGAAAGCCCCATTGCACTAGAGAAGCCCCTGTGGTGGCTTCCACTAGAGTGTCAGGTTAGTTGCATCCAGCCCTGTAGGTCCTTTATAAGCCTTGGGTGAAGTTTCTCATTTCTGAACCAACAGCTCCTTTAGAGCTCCAGGCTCAGCTTTCATGAGCTGCAGAAATGGGTAAGTGCAACTGTGTCTGAATTTTAAAGAAATTAATCACAGGCACAGGAACTGATGATAATTGGAACCAAAGCATGTAGGAAGGAGGTTAAATCCTTCCCTTAACAGCCACAATGCCAATAAACATTTGCCTCTCAATCTAAAAAATACCAGCAGTGAGGTGGAGAGCTACTGGTGGAAGTTTCTGCCCTATCTAGGAGGCTGATTTTTGTCAAAATCATTGCTGGAAAAGGAAGGACCACAATGGAAATCTTACCTTATTCTTCTTCTTATTATTATTCTTTTAAGCATGGATGTAGGTGCTCACTGTGCAATTAAAGTATCATCTGGTTCGGCTGTCATTGTAGTGAAATAGGGGAATACAGGCTACTCAACACTGTTAGACTAAAAAATTAATTTGGAGTCCATTTCTGACTGCAATAACTCTACTAACATTTGACATTCCTTGCAATTTCTTCTGTTGCTTTCTGCTAATCTTAGGGGCTTGATTGAAGCAATGCTAAAACTCTTGTATTCTGTGCTTTGAACAGGTTATGAGGTGCACGGGATGGATAAAGTACCAGAAGGACCAGGGCTTGTTGTATTTTACCATGGAGCCTTTCCTCTAGACTATTTCTACTTTGTATCTAGACTCTATTTGCAGACAGGCAGACTCTGCCAATCAGTGGTTGATTACCATTTTTCCAAAATACCAGGTAAAATGTAGTGGGTGTGCATGTGCATTGTGTTGCAAAACTTTAAAATGTACACCATAATTTTAAAATGCTAGTCCTGAAACACAGGCATATCTGGGTACTGTTGCACTGCTGATAGGAAATAATATGCATCTTGCCTGGACCAGTGTTAGAAATGTCCAGTCTCGGGGGCAATTTTAGAAACCCCCAGTCAAGTCCCTAGGTATGTCATAATTGACATTTCTACTTGTTGTGTTTACATTGGCTTTAGTTTGCTTCTTCATTTATATAGGTTTATACAGATGTGCCCAAGGACTAGTGTTTCTCTGTAACCTCGGGATGGCTCTTTCAGTGTCTAGTACCCCTCTGAAAATACAAAATAGGCCAAGATTAGCACTTTATGTAGTATCTCCTGGAAAGTTATTTGAAGGATTCAATTACTTGCCTCAACAAACCAAGAATAACTAACTGCGTATACTGCCCAGAAGATGCCTTGGAAGATGTGCTAACCTGCTGATAAAACTACAAGAAAAGTCTAGAAAGATGCACATAGAAAAAGAACACGAATGATGGACTCCTCCAAAGGGATACAGTGGTACCTTGGTTCTCAAACGTAATCCGTTCTGGGAGTCTGTTTGGCTCCCGAAACCATTCGAAAGCCAAGGCACAGCTTCTGATTGGCTGCAGGAGCTTCTTGCACTCAAGGGGAAGCCATGTCGGACGTTTGGCTTCCAAAAATGTTCACAAACTGGAACACTTCTGGGTTTGCAGTGTTAAGGAGCCAATTTGTTCGACAACTAAGCCGTTTGAGAACCAAGGTACCACTGTATTTCACTTTCAATGCTCACTGGGGCCATTGCTGTTTTGCCAGCTCTCAGCTCTCCTTATCCAATGCCTTTCCTTCTCCCCTCTTTTCTAAACAATCTGCTTCCTATGTTTTCTAAATTTCAAAGCCTAACTATAATGTCTTGTCTTGTACCGCTGTGTATTCTAACTACCTGAATGCCGCCTGCTGATTCAAGTCTTGTTTCCTTTGGGGTTTTTGTTGCTGTTGTTCTGTGTGTGAGTATTTTAAGCCCACATCCATGAAGCCCAAATTGTTATTTTAAAGAGCAATATTTTTGTTTGTCTCTTTCAGAAAATAAGTTTTGACCTTGAAAGCTTTTAGATATAACTAGTTTATATAAGTGTTGAATGAACACATTTTATTTTTAGTGATTTGTTTCAGGTTCTCAGCACTCAGTTATTAAGTATCAATTATTAAAGAAAATCTCAGTTTAGTAAGAGATTTGTGTATTTGTGTCTATGTGGGATGATGCCCTCCAGAACAACAAGGTAACTATTAGTACTGCAGGAGTCAGTGTGCTTGTGCCCCCCTCCCTTTCTGTCTCCCATACAAGTACTAACCAAGCCTGATCCTGCTTAGCTTCCAAGATCAGACAAGATTGGTCGTGTTTAGGATAGTATGGCTGTAGACCCACTTTCTCTCTGTCAAGTAGCTAAGGAGCACTCTCAGAGTAGGTACAACTGATCATGTGTTAGAGAGGGGAGGCAGCTGTGCTCTGTTAAATTAACTGTGGGTTTCTATGTTTGATACATTTGCCTTGGATGAAAGAGGAAGAGAAACATTGGAATCTAATGCATTTATAAAAACACATTTCAGAACACTGTTATACAGTATGCATAATTAAGCCCTGGTAATCCATTTGCAATATCTAAGGCTGAAAACCTTGGAAACTTAGGACAACATCCAATGGTGCGCAATGGATTTTGGGTTTCTTGTCTACCTCCCTAGCCCACGAAATGCCCATAAATTCTGTTTCAGAGGATCCTCTGATCCTCCAGAGCAAATTATGGGGGTATATGGGAGGCTTTACAGCTGAGGAAGGTGAAGCCTCTTCATGTTACTGAATGCTGCTCGTGCTATGTTGGATCTTGCCATTAATTTATTGGACTCAGTAGGAGTTATTTACATAGGAGCAGGCTGCATGAATGGCATGTAGATTTGCTTTCAAATTAAATGTTAGATGTTGGGAACAGAATAATATATCAAGCTTTGGTTTCTTAATGTGTATATAAAGATTTTGGTGTTCCAAAAAAGGATGTGCAACAAGCTGCATGTTTGCATGGATGAATTAATGTAATGCTCAGAAACACAAATGGATGCTTTCTGTTAGCCCTGCAGTCTCATGCCTTTTCTGTCCACAACTGATAAACATAATTTAATTTTATTACATACAAGACAGATGCCAACTTTTAGGCTACAGTCCTACACTTACTTACCTGGCAGTGAGCCTCACTGAACTCTGGTTCTGGCTTCTGAGTGGAAGTGTATAAAATTGTGCTGTTGCATTTGAACCTATCTTTCATAAAAGATGGCAAACCTTTCACTTTTTATGTCTAAAATGTGCAGGATGTACTTGTTTTATATAGTGTGTTTTCCCTTTAACAAAGTATTTCTCCTGCAGGTATCAAACTGTTTTATAAAGTACATGGCCTTACACATGATGGAAGAGAGGAATGTGTTGAAATTCTGAGAAAGGGATACTTGCTTGGAGTCTTACCAGGTGGAGCCCGAGAAGCACTTTTTAGTGACGAAAACTACAGTCTCTTGTGGGGTAGCCGCAAAGGCTTTGCTCACGTGGCCAGAGATGCAAAAGTGGTGAGTGGCCAGGTGCTGTAGATTTGAAGTGTGTGTTTCTGGTTTTTGTTGTGTCCCTGAAAAGAAAACGCATTTGCAGCAAAGCCGTAAGAGAACCTTTCGAAAGATCAGTGATGCTACAACCGTTTTATCCATGTGTGGTGAGAAAATACTGGCAGGTTGTCTGGACGTGTCATGGGATGAGAAATCTCATCTGCTGGACAACTCCACCTGATACACTAGTAACAGGATAAAGGCTACAACCTTTCAATAGGACAATGACCAGCAGTGCCTGTGCACCAGATGCATTTAACTTTAGAAGGAAGTTAAACTTACTTGTGGAGGGTAAAATACATTAACATGATCCAAAGGGGAGGGGGTTGGATCCTTAAAGCAAAGGTTTTTCCTTTTGTCTTATGCACTTGATATTTTCTAACTTCAAAAAACTTGTTAGGTGGGGCATAAGAGAGTTAAAGAAATGAGAGTTAACTCTTTCCCACTGGAAATCAGTGAAATTTAAAAGTTTTTATCTTTGGGCTCATGCCCCACGACAGCTGAAGAAATATAATTTATTTATTTCCTTTCATTTTTATACCACCTTTCTTCCACCGTGTAACCCTGGGTGGCGCCCATGTGATTCCCGGGTGGTGGCCAGGCACACATCAGTTCAGCTTCAGCAAGGTGGTGGTCTCATGTGGCTCCAGACCGCACCCTGGGATGATTAATGAAAGGGAATCCCCTCCTTTTTTCAAAACGGCAAACAGATGCATGAATATTCTCACCCACTCATTTTCTTAGTATTAAATTGCTGAGTAACTTGCTCTAATTTTCATTGGCAATGACATTACTTTTATCACTACAGTATGTGAATGAGTCTCAAACTCTTGTCCTTCCCCTTCCCTCCCCTTCCCCAACTAGGAGGGGGAACTGGAAGCTTTCACTTTCATTTTTAAGAAACTTCAATGTAGCATTATGCCTGAAATTGGTAAGCTGTTTAGTTAAACTTCAAACATTGTTTCAATAAAACATAGTTCAGAGTTTACTTGACAATGAAGTGAAAGTTTCTGATGATCTCACAGATGCACCAGAGTAGCTGGGTTTCCCCAGCCAGATGAGCAGGGTATAAATAATAAATTATTATTATTAAAATTATTATAACGCAAAAAGCCAAAGCTTATTAATGTAAGGACTAAACCATAGTTTATCATCACATTGAGATGTGTCGATTTCAGTTTATGTAATGAGCTTAAAATAGTGGGACGCGGGTGGCGCTGTGGGTAAAACCTCAGCGCCTAGGACTTGCCGATCACATGGTCGGCGGTTCGAATCCCCGCGGCGGGGTACGCTCCCATCGTTCGGTCCCAGCGCCTGCCAACCTAGCAGTTCGAAAGCACCCCCGGGTGCAAGTAGATAAATAGGGACCACTTACCAGCGGGAAGGTAAACGGCATTCCGTGTGCTGCGCTGGCTCGCCAGATGCAGCTTGTCATGCTGGCCACGTGACCCAGAAGTGTGCGGACAGCGCTCGCTCCCAGCCTATAGAGTGAGATGAGTGCACAACCCTAGAGTCTGGCAAGACTGGCCCGTACGGGCAGGGGTACCTTTACCTTTTAATGAGCTTAAAATACTGATGCTGAAATTTTGAGAGACATAGGTGAAGTGATAAGTTTCATTGGAAAACTGGTTTCAGAATTGTGGCATCTTACCATACAACACCTTTTTTATACATGGAGATAACATCCATGAGATGATTTCCTTTTTGTGCATGGAGGATAACTATGATATCAATACAAGATATTTAAGTAGTGGAGGCTGAACTACTGCCCTAATTGTGGCTACTTTTCTCCCACCTTTCTCAGCCTATCATCCCTATATTTACAAAAAATCTTCGGGAAGGATACAGAGCACTTGGAAAAATATGTAAGATTGATTCCCCTTGCATCTTCCCATATCAGCTTATGCCCTAGGGCTAAACACATTACACATAAGTAAATTCCACTGGCTTCAGTTGGACTTCTGTATAATTGTGTTTAGAATTTTTCTCCTGGAATATTTTTGTTGTCATCTTGAACTTTATGCTGTCATACATCCTTCTCTGCGTTGCATCACACTGTCTTATCCTAGCTCTTTTTCCTTTACCTGCTCCATCTCTGTTTGTGTGGTTCTTCCTCTTCAGTTTCTTTGAATTTGTTTAGGTGTCCAGTTGTGCCTGGTCCATGGCCGGGTAATGCGGATTTACTTGTACTGTAGTCTAGTATGTATTTGTGCACACATTAGCACATTGAAATCAATGAGGTTTAAAATATGTATAATTATTCAATGGTTTGAGGCTGCTTATTGTGCATGACAATTTAGACATACTTTTTGCACAGTTAGCACCAACTGCATGGCCTTTGCTCATCTATTATTAAGGCTTCTTCTGATTCCTAAGACTATATCATATTACCATATATTAAAAATGAGAATTTTTGAAAAATTTACACACAGGGCCATTTAAGTGGCTGTATGAACGTACCCGATGGCCAATTGTTCCTGTATATGGAGGGTTTCCAGTCAAATTTTGCTCCTATGTAGGAGATCCCATTCCTTATGATCCAAATATAACAGTTGAAGAACTAGTTGAAAAGGTAAGTTTGGTGTATTGGGTTTTATTAATGTTCTAAAGTACAAGGCATATGCGTAATGTAGTACTCTGGGAGTGCAATCCTATGCACACTTTTCTGGGTGTACATCTTACTGAGTTCAGTGTTTCTTGCTTGTCAGTAGGCATGCATAAGGTTACATGGTTAGGATGCAATCTTACACCCATTTACCTGAGATCGATTCAGCTGGACTTACTTCTGAGTAGACATGTATAGGTGTTCACTTAAACTCCTCACTGGAGTATCAGGAAGTCCTGGGGAAGAAAACAGAAGAGATGCATTGCTGAAATATTGGACTTAACGGAAGAGAAAATGACAATGGCCAAAAAATGCTGAGGTAAAATACTGGGCTTATAGAAAATAATGGAAGGGACCCAGCGTACCCCAATTGCCTAATATGGTTTTTGGTTTTCAAAAGAGCATTACAGATAAGAAACCAGTGTTGCAGGTTCACACAGTGAAAGTATCAGCACTTGCCTGAAGACAGAGAAAGTGTAGCAGAATTAACCTACGGTAAAATTGTCTCCTGGGTCTCAGTGAGCCTCTCCTGTCATTTTCTGATGCGTTCTTTTGTGCACACCGGGAATTTGAGAAAAGGGGAAGATTACAAAACTCGGGAGGGTGTCCTCCAGTGTGCTTTATAGTGGTATAAAGACATTAAAAATAGATTAGATTATACAGGGGAAAATATTTCCTCAAGTTTATTTTGAAAGGTTGTGGGGTTGGTTTCACTTTCCCATTAATTTCAGTAGGAGTAATTAGGTCTCCTGGTGTGAATTCCTACGTGGAAAGGGGTGGAGAGAGGCATTCCACCTTTAAAGGCCTGCTGGCTTGGAGCAACCAGGCTGGAAAGTGGGGCGGTGCTGAACTTACCTCCTTCCACCCCACTTGTGTCTTCCTCCCTGCTTCCTTTGGTTTTAGTGAGAAGATAATTCGTTGTACCAGCTTGAGGTTCTTCCCTGGAACATTCTGTTTCCAGTCCTAATGACAGCTACCACTGGAAGATCACTGGTAGTACATCTATGCAAATAGTTTTCCATGGGTATAGCAGGAACATACAACTCCCTTGCTACAACAGCTTCACTGGCCTGTCGGTCTGTTTCTGGGCGCAATTCAAAGTGCTGGTTATGACCTATAAAGCCCTAAGTAGCTTAGTTCCAAGCTGACTCTATTTCCCCTATACAAACCAACTTGGGTTTTGAGATCTTCAGGGGGAACCCTTCTGGTCCTGCCACCCTGACAGGCCTGCTTGGTAGGGACTCAGGTGAGGGTCTTCTTGATGGCTACTCCCGGACTCTGGAACTACCTCCCTAGGAAAGTTAAACTGGCTCCCTCCATGTTATACTTCTGCTGGCAGATGAAGACTTTTTCATTGCAACAGGCCTCTTGAAATTGATTGCTTTTAATGAAAGAAAGGGCTGGTGCAATGCTGGATTTATTGTTTTAAATAGATTTGAGAGACAGAGAGTTTTAATTCTATCAATGTTTAATTGCTTCTTTCTGATATCTGTAAGTCATCTTGAGTCCCTGTCAGGGGAAAAGGTAGGGTATAAATAAATGAATAACAATAACAAGAATAATTCTATGATGAACATGGGTTCTCCACTGGTAGATCATTAGATCTAAGGACAAGGGGCACTTCTATGCCATTCTCCACCCGGTAGATTTGGATTTAGGATTGCTCTGCTCATAAATTAAATGTAATTTGCATTTAAAAAAAAAAAAAAATTAAAGGGAGGGGAGAAAAGATGGAACACAACAGGACACATGACCTCTGAGAATTGCATGGAATATTAAGTGACAGAGCTCTACTTAAAAATTGGACCTACTAGGGTCCACAGCCACTCTGTTGTGTAGAAGGGTTAAATACTTTAAACTTACACTTGCATTTATATATTCTGGGGTTATATAAAAATAAACATAATATTTTCTGGATTTTTTTTTTCAGACAAAGACAGCAATAGAAGATCTCAGAGATAAACACCAAAAAATGCCAGGTAGCATACAAAGAGCACTGTTGGAACGATTTTATAAGATTCCAAGTTAATAGGAAAATTCTTTTGAAAATGTATATATTTCCTTCCTAACAGTCTTGCAGTATTTTTTTATTTATACAAGCATCTCTTTTGTTGAAAAAACATGGCTAATGTTTTGTATCACAGAAACTGCATCTTTCACTCTAAGAAAAGTGCTTGAGTTGAGTTTTTGCCAGCTGTTTTGAGGGGGGGGCTTTTTTATTTATCCAATTCAATTGGAGTTTAAGCCTGGTTTTGGCATTGAAACTGCCTGGGTCACCCTGATGGGGGTCTTTTGCTGGGAGAGAGTCAGGAAGAGTGCAACTGTTGATTCTCCTGGACCTCAGGGCACCTTTTCATACCATGAACCATTGTATCCCTCTTTCCAAGTTACTCCTGGGTAGCATTGCTCTTCTGCTCATACCATCTTGGCATACCAGGTAAAGTCCTACCTGGACAGAGAGTCTGGATTCAGTGTTCCATGTGCTGGTTACCTCCTGTTCGCATCACTGTGATGCATTTTATATGAGGCAGCCTTTGAAAACTGGCCAGAAACTTTAGTCAATACAAAATACCAACTGGGACTAGTCATCTTCACTGGATCCCTTTATACCTTTAACACAAGAAAATAGCTCATCTAGTCTAGCATCTTTTTATTGTGGTGGCCAACCAGAGGCATATGGGAAATTGAAAGCAGGGCCTGGACACAGCCCCAAATTCCCCTACATGCCAATTTAAACCCTTTGTGCTCTGAAGCCTTGGTATCTGAAGGCTGGCCCGCATTCCACATATATCTGCCAGGACCAAAAATAATCATCAGTAGGATGTTTCAGAAGGAAACGTGTTGACTAGAAAGAGAAGGTGAGGTTCCCAGAGGAAGAAGAGAGCTTAGTGATTTTGTGGGACATTGGGGAAGCTTTTAGGGCAACAGTCAAAAGAAAGCAGGCCAGAGACGGGGCGATTCTAGAGGGTAGGCTAGGAGTGAAATAAACTTCTGGTTTTGCAAAAGAGTAATAGTGTGAGGGGTGCTATGGAAAGCATAGGAAGGAGAGTATGAGATACTGGAGCAAGAAAGTCAAGAATGAAAGAAAGGACAGCAAAGGAAAGAGAGCAGGTCACCTGAAGAAGGAGGGGGAGGAAAGGTTCACAGGAATATTTGGTGCAGGGAAATGAGATATTGCTGTCATTCAAAAGGCTAGAGCGAAAAGAATTGTTTTGATGACTGAGATGGAAGTGGGTGAATTAATGATTAAAATGAAAGCCCAAACCCCAATTTCCCTGTCTTATCAAAGTCATTGAGCTGGATTCAAGTAATGTTATGCACTAATGGAAACCAACATAAGGAAGATCCTGTCCCTTCCTAGGCTAGCAATATGAATATAAAAATCAGCAGGAACTGTGCCCATATCTGTTTGCCACTTGTAAGTTGATTTTGGTTGTGGTGACGCAGGCTGGACTTTCAGCCTTCTAATCTATGCAAGGCTCCATCAAAGTGATAGTGATCTCAAAACTGTGTGAGAAAGCCTGTTCAGAATTGATCCTTTGGCGATGGAACGCCATCATCAGAGATGCACACCGTACAATTGCTTTCTTATCTTTCTGGAGCAAGACAGATACCTTTTTATTTTCTCAGGCCATTTAAATTATGTTCTACATTGGTTCTACTACTGGATTTTATTCCTCTGCCCTGAGTTTCATAATGAATTATTGCTACTAAGTCTCTCTGCCCCATTCTAAACCAACTTTACTTTTTTTAATATATATGTATATATATAATGGTGTGTTGTTGATTTTTTTGTTTGTTTGTTTGTTATTTTATTGGTTTTAATCCCTATTTGTCATCCTGAGCATTTTGATTATAAGATTATACATTGTATGTATTAAAAAAGTAAATAAATTCAGCTGCCCAAATAAGGTTGGTGTATGATTATATTGCAGCTCAAATCCATCCAAAACTGCAATCCTACATACACCCATTAAGACATTGGACCTACTGGATTATCACTCCCTGATAGACACATGAAAACTTGTTGGCTATATTGTTCTATGAGATTCCAAGTACATCTGTCGGTAATTCCAACCACAGTATATAATTTGGTGATGTAATTAGATAATTTGTTTAGGCATTTATTAAAGTGTTTGGGCTGCTGCTGTTTAATGGCAGATTGGCCCATAATCAGACATCTGTCATCAGCTTCAACTGGCCGGCTAAACCAGGTGAGGGTAGCCAATGAGTATGAAATCTTTGGTGAGTTAGGGACTTCCACTGCATGCAAAGACGGGCTCCAGCAGACTTGAATGGACAAAACAAATCCAGATTGGAGTCCCCAAGTTAGCTGGATAGCATCTTATATGCCTCCTTCTGGAGACACAGGGTGCATCTTCACAGAGGTCAGATGCAGGTAGAACACTACCGGGTTGATCTGCAATCACCTCGAAGGCACTGATATGCTTTGGGTTCAACGTCTTACACAGGGCTTTCCAAGGCAGATCCTGTGTCGAGAGCCAGACACAACCCCCCACTTGGATCAGAGTTCCTGGTTGCCTGTGCACATCAGCTGTCCTCTGGTATGTCACTTTGGGGCGGTCAAGTTGCGCTCATAGCAAGTGTTGAACTGCTTCCAGCTCTTCCAGTGTGGTGTAGTGGTTAAGAGCGGTAGACTCGTAATCTGGGGAACCGGGTTCGCATCTCCGCTCCTCCACATTCAGCTGCTGGGTGACCTTGGGCTAGTCACACTTCTCTGAAGTCTCTCAGCCCCACTCACCTCACAGTGTTTGTTGTGGGGTAGGAAGGGAAAGGAGAACGTTAGCTGCTTTGAGACTCCTTCAGGTAGTGATAAAGCAGGATATCAAATCCAAACCCTCCTCCTTCTTCTTTTTCTTCTTCTTCCACAACCTCTGCTGCAGCCAGCACTGACAAGAGGGGAGCCGGCGTCTGGCAGGTGTGAGGATGATATCCATTGTTCACAAGGGAGTTTGCTTGGTGGAGGCATGCAATGAGTTATTGTATGTCAACTTTGCTAGCTAGAGGAATGCCATCCAATTGTCCTGCTGGTAATTGACATAGCAGTATAAATATTGCTGCATAGTTGATTTCATTTCCTCTGCATTGCCATTTGTAGCTGGATGGTGGGCAGAAGAGATGCTCAGCTCCAGCTCCAGCCACTGCACTGAATGACTTGCAGAACTGAGCAGTGAAGTGGGTTCCTATGCCAGAGACAATCTGCTGCGGTAGCGTGTGCAGCTTAAATATGTGGTCTACAAACAGCTGTGCAGTTTCTCTGGCAGTAGGGAGCCCCTTGCATGGGATGAAATGTGCTAGATAACCATCGTGATGCATTTACTTTCAACACTGTTCAAAGGAATTGGACATTATTTGCTGGCAGCCCAGGCTGAATAAATAGAAACCTGTCTAGTTATATAGTAGATTAGTTGTGCAACTAATGGCTTTTGCTGTAAAATAGGCCTTGCGTAATTGAATTTTACATAATAACTGAATGCCACATAAAAGTTAATTTCACATGACTTACTTATTGCACAAATTTTAATTATGAGTTTCAATCATGTGCCAAGTTCTTTATTATATATGTATTTATAATAATTGGGTTTTGTGCAATTAGATTTTGGACGGTTAAGTGTATAATGTGTACATGGCTTATATGCAAATAATTGGGTCATGTACAAAGAAGCTCAAAAAGAAGAAAGTATGAATATTAAAAAATTATGAAAAATGAAAAAAACTAGAGAAATTAGTCAAGTGAAGTTAAAGTTCTGCAGTTCAGATTTTGTATGTAAGGTGTATGCATTTTATATGCATGCCCATTTTTGTATGCTTTTAAGTGCTTTCTTTCTTTCTTTCTTTCTTTATTTATTTATTTTGAAAATACGGTACATACAGTATATTCATTTTGATCCAAAACTTCACTGTAGAATTTGGAGAAGGATGCAATACAATTTATAGCTGTGTTCAGCTCTGCAATTCAGTCTGGGACTGGCAAGTTGTTTTAAAATGCTGACCAGATAAGGAAAGTATGTTTAGCATAAAGAAGCTAGGGATCTGAAGGGAAGGGAAGGATCTGGGGCTTGCAGTTCCAGTGGTGAGCTAGGAGAGGTGCAAAAGAGGAAAGAGGCCACTATATTGTTATGTGTTGGGGAAGTAGGCTGTATGTCTGAACCGCCTTCTAATTACTGGGATCAGCATAGATTCAATTCCTGGAACAGCCTGGCTAGCTTCCTGATGAAGTAATGGCACTCTAAGTATGGGCCATTAAGGTAACAAAGGAAGTGGCTCTGTGCCATAAGAAAAATGGGATGGTGACAAAGGCCAAAGTTGCGCAGTTATGTGAGCTTAAAGGTAGAAGCTGGCAGGCTGTAGGTTGGGCAGCTGGGAGACAGAGCTATAAAAAGAGCCTGTTGAAATCCAACAGAATAGGAGAAGCAGAAGTGCTCTGGTCCATGGGGTCACAAACAGTCAGACACAACTAAACGACTAAATAACAAGGAGAAGCAAGACCTGCTTCGGGTCTTAATGATGTCAACCCCTCCATCATAAGTTTGGGTGTGTAAATAAACCATATATCATAAAGACACCACAGTCTCGACTGTCCCTCATTCTGAAGGAAACACATACCCTGGATAAGCACCCGGAACTCCTGGAATCACACACCTCTCAGATATTGGAGTTGTGTGCAACAGAATTATAAAAAGAGCCTATCAAACACAGTATTGAAAAGAGTACCCAACTTTTCAGAGTAATGGACTCTGCAGGAGGTAAGCAACACTCTGATGGTCCGGGAGACCTTGGGCGGGTACAGGTTCTCATATGTCATGAGTGTCTTTATAATTCTGAGATTCTGCTTTCGGTGTGTCTATCATAGAATCATAGAGTTGAAAGGTATCCTGAAGGTCATCTAGCCCAACCCCCTGCAATGCCAGCAATCTCAACATTCAGTCCCCCATCCAACTTGAAAACATACCATATCCTGTTAGCTTTGTACATGTGCTAGCAGTTTTATTGCTGTATCACCAGGAGGTTGTTAACATCCATGTGTATGAGCCCTATTCTCACATTCATTAAACAGAGGGGGAGGGATTGAACTGATTGGTCCCACTCAATTTCAGTGTGTTCAACAGAAGGTGTGAGCAGGGCATTATATTCATACAGCTGTATACGTCTTTCACTTGAACTTGTGGAGGTCAGTGATGAGATCACTTGGCACAACCCCATTCCTGTTTTCCATGCCTTCTGTGAATACCATTCAAAGCTGAGAGCAGGGCTCAGCACATCTCTCGAAATATCCTCCTGAGCAGACTCTCTATAGGTGCAAACTTAAATTTTTCAGATACATGTTCTAAGAATGGGAAATATTAACAGTGTTATTAGAGCAAGGGACAATTTCAGTATTGTATAAGGATCACACCTTCAGTATTGTATAAGGATGATAGGAAACAAAGGCCACTATCACTCTGCTTCTTTGTAAAGGCCACATTCCCTTGGTGTAATCGGGTGGGTGTACATGTGTGGGACTGAAGTCAGTGGTAGACATAGCTACCGGTACATTTTGTCTTTCTGCCACCCCGTTTCCCTCACTCAATTCCTCACCCTCCCCACATTCTCTCTGGGCTGCTAGCGGATAGACAAGATTGGACAGATTGTTCTTCCAGAGATCTGAACTGTTTAGGCTTCCTATTTCCTCCCCCAGTTCCCCCCTCCTGCCCACTTTCTGTTTCACTGGGCTCCTCCAATCCGTATGAATTTGAGCCATGGGCTCCATGAAATTTGGACCCTCATGTTCCCCATCCCTGGTCTAAAAAGAACAATGGGTAACAACTGTGCATTGCACATTCTTCTTTCTTGACTGATTAATGTGACACAGTGTGGAGAAGGGTAACCATGTGTCTTTGCTCATGCATTATTTTTATTAGACATGATGACAAGGATGCCCAAGTAGAGACATGGGGCAACTGTGGTTCTGTCTTGGTTTTAGAGAGACCAAATGAGAGCCAACGTGTGTCTGGTATGGTAAAGAGTTATTGGGTATTTGTAAGGGGAAAATAATTTCTGATAATGCTCTTAGGAACAACAACAACAAAATCCAGAAGACACCACGACATGAAACATGTTTTACTGCACAGGGGTTAATTTGATCTTTTCTAGAGATTAGCTTTGGGACATGTGAAATACAGTAATAGCAGCGCTTTTGAGCACGAGTACAATCTCCACAAACGCCTATTTTGCATCATGGCGAAGCGCTTCCGTAACCGAGGATGTGGTTTCTAGGAAAACTAGCAGCCTGTGTGGCAGCTCACATTTTAAAAATAGAGCATTGTGGCTTTTAGAAATGGAGGGCGTGGATTTACACACACACACACACACACAGAGAGAGAGAGAGAGAGAGAGAGAGAGAGAGAGAGAGGCGCGGGGGAGAGAGTTCCTTGTAACATGGACAACATTAGAAAATGGGTGACGGGCTGTCGTTAAGGATTGATGTTGCGCCATCCAGCGGGATAAAGTTGCATTTCTGATGACACAGCCCTTTTTTTGCCTCTGCCTTCCTGTGCCGGAGGCGGAGAGGGAGAGATAAACCGGCCTCGAGAACACCTGGCAACAGCACAAAACAACTGCACGGCTGAAACAGGACAAAATCTTTTATTGTAATTGTAGTTCAAATGTCCGCAGAACAGGGAGGTGTTCCCCACCTCCTTCCAGCCTCGCCAAGCAAATTCTCTCTGCTCCTCAAAGCGGCCCCGCGCGCCATCGCCTTCCCCCCCCCGCCGGACTCTTATGGGGTGCAACACTCGCGGAGGCGCACTTCCGCCGGAAATACCCGTCCGCGTGTGGGTCCGCCACGCTCTTTCTCCCACGGGGTTCTGAGCCTTGCTTGCCTCGAGTCCTTTCGAGGGGCAGAAGCGGCGGCATGTTGCGCGAGGTGCCGCAGACCCTGGTGGTGGCCGAGCTGCTGCTCACGCTGCGGGGCGAAGGAGAGGCGGAGGCAGGAAGCGACATCCTCTGCCTGTGCACGCGAGCCTTCGTGGAGTGAGTCGGGGAGGGGGCGAGGGGGGGGGAGCCGGTGTGAGCGGCCAGCCTGAAGGTCTCACTCGCTTTTTTCGCTTGCTCGTTTATTTCCCGCCTTGTTCGCTGACAGGGATTCGAGGCGGCTTAATTGCGGGAGAAGTGGCGCCGAGGAGTGTCCTTTTGAATTCCCGCGGCTTCTGAGTAGTAGCAACCTGGTGGTGATGAGGATGACAATGGGTTAGATCCACCAGTTCACTGTTTCCCACCAAACTTAGAACAATAACATGCCGCTTTGGAGAGCGCAACCTTTACTGGTGTAAAGATCTTCACAAGCGGAGATATATAGGGGGGCAAGGGTTAATAATACTTTTCTATCTTTGAATTGTTTTCTGCAGCACCCCCAAAAATCACATTGAAGTGGGGAGGGGGAGTCATGCACCCATTGATACCCCCAGGGGTATGCGTACCACACTTTGGAAAATCCTGTTCCTGTTTTAGTTGAACTTCAAGTACCACTGAAATAGATGGGACATGTTAGTCACAACTAAGTCTCATGTACTTTAGTGGGGTTCCAAGTTCAGCTAATTTAGCCTGGATTTTAGTAATTATGAGGTTCTGCCACACTTTTGCTAGCTAACAGTGGGGTGAAATGCAAGGGGTGCCCCCCCCCCGAGTAAAGTAAGGTAAAGCTGCTATGTGTTAGACTTCTCATGTTGTTGGCATTTGTCTGTCTCAGGATACAATGGAAGTGTGTGTCTTTGGGGGTAAAGTCAAACTTTTGGAGAGTTGCAGCACCTGCTGTGGCTGTAGAGACTGATATGGAACAGGCATGTTTTGTTGCAGATTAGGCTGTCTGGTTTTGCTGCTGCAAGTGCACCATGGTGTTTCTTCTCTCTGTGCTCCTCCCAGTGGACATTTCTCCATTGGTCACTGGTGTGGATGCACCTGACTGTCATCTCCAGGCACCGTGATTGTCTGGAAAGGATTCCCATACGACGGGGTTAATGTTGCCAGCCTTCATGTCACGTTTGCAGGCATCTTTGTAATTTAGAGTTGGTCTGTCAACAGGCCTGTTGCCTGAAGGCAGCTCTCCATAGAGCACATCCTTGGGGATTCTGCCATCTTCCATTCTGTGTACATGAGCAAGCCAGCATAGATGCCACAGAGACAGAAGTGCAAACATGTTGGGAATGTGAGCTTGGGAGAAAACATCTTTGTTTAAGACTCTGCCCTGCCACGTGGTGCCCAAAACCTTCCTGACACAGCACATATGGAAGGCATTGAGAAATCACTCCTGGCGGGTGTAAGCTACCCATGACTCACTTCCATAAACCAGGATGTTTGTCTTTGTCAGGCTGATGGTGAAGCCAAACTCCATGTAGGCTTGGGCTTGATGAGTAGGCTGGGGGTTGATGAGTCTCTGCAGAGTTTCTTTGCGCTCTCAAGGTTGCGTTATCTACGAACCACATCTTGTGGATAAGAACCCGTTGCATTTTTTGTCTTGGCATGGAGACGTGCCAGGTTGAACAGCCCCCTGCCACTTCTTGAATGGAAATACACACCGTTTTCAGTCAAGCTGAAGGCATATGAGAGCAACAGAAAGAAGAATATGCCAAAGAGAGTTGGGCTGTCTACACCTTGGGACAACATTTCATACATTTGATGAAATGGAATGTAGCCCAAGAAATAAATTCGTTAGTCTTTAAGGTGCCTTAAGACTCTTTGTTGTACATGATGACTAGTTTCAGTAAAACTAAAATTATAGCATGTTGTGTAAAGAAGGCCTTTTTTGCATGCTTTCTTTGTCATCTGCTATTTTACTTCCATATTTCATTGATGGCCTTAACAGTGACATGTATTTTTATTTTATTCCCTAGGGATCGAAAACTTTACAAACTAGGCTTGAAGGGATTTTATGTCAAAGATGAAGGTGACAGTATAGGTAAGATATGCTCAAAATGTTGAATTAACATTGTGTGCATTGCAAAATAAGTTGTTTGCACACCTGTAAGGTAGAGAAACTTGAATTAACAAATTATAGTTGTATCCCTGCTATTAATTTATCAACCTAATGCTCAGATACAGATTTTTCAAAGTCCATATAAGAAAATGTAGGTGAAGACTTTTGGAAAAGTGAAGAGAACTTACATATGGAAAATGCTACAACAGTAGTTGTTTTTGAGTAAAGATATTGTTCCAAACCACATATGAAATCTGCATGAAAATCGGCAAGATAGGGTGTCTTTAGGTATGTGAACCAATGTAGTATTGCTTATGAACTACATATACATCAACCTGGGAGTGAGCCTAGATTAACTTACTTCTGAGTGAACGTGCACAAAATTCCACTCAGTGTTACACATGTATGTGAATAAACATGGATTCAAATCACTGCTAAGCACTTTTACCCAAGGCTATCCAATATCTCATAGCCTGATTCTAGTGATTCTTATTAGATGGTTACATCAGTACCTGAAAACAATTAAATCTCAGGACTCACATCTAAAAGCCCTCAGCCATAAAGCAGTAGGAGACTGACCAACAACCCCTTTCCTGCTTTCCCCACTACCCCAAGAAACTGCTGCACAAACTGCTGCATGTGAATTCTGTTTAGTAATTATTTATTTTAGTTAGCTTACTGTACAATTCATACCCCACCCATCAATGAATTTTTGTAGCGATTGTAGTGCTGCCCTGATAGTATTCAGTCTCTACAAAAGTTCAATGATAAAAACAGCAAGTTGGTGGCAAGAGCAAAGCAGCAGAAGAGAACATAGCAGCAACAAGAACAGGCTAAAAATAATTTAGCTGATATTTTTAAAAAGCATGGGAGAATAAGGAGGACATGAGAATAGGTACCTGTGAACCTCACATGGAGATAACATTTCACAAACTGGAACAGGTACATAGTCTAGGGAAACATGGTATGGCTGCTTGCTGCATGCTTTGTTACATAGTTTTGCATTAAATAGAATTTCAGGCTTGGACTTAGTGTTTTGCAGCTGGATTCTCATATAGACAGTTGTATGCCTTTGCTATCTAGTCTTCATGACTGTGAGATCCTCTGGTGCTTTCCCCCCTTGTATTTGTGTCTGTAGGAAGAAAAAGTGTCTGCAGTAGGAAATCGTGCTTTTAATATTTTATTTAAATTCAAGCATTTTGGGAACTTTAGCTTTGGACTAACAGAGTTAATCTAAGCATGGAATCAATCACTGAATATACATTTGAATCGATTATTCACTTACATTTGGTATTTTCAAGAGAGCATCTTCTCAAACTTCAATAAACATCTCACGCAATTCGCTTTAAGGGAAATTAATCATTTTTCCTAAGGAATTTGGTGTACTCTTTTGAAATGACTGCCACAGGATGCTTGTTGGGAAAAATAATTTGGTATTGTAATTCTTCTGCATCAGAAATCTATGACTGACAAAAGTAAAAATGAAAATACAACTTTGTAACTTGGTGTTGTGGTTTACAGGGGAAGATCAAGTAACCACCGAGGATGAAGAAAAAGACAAGAAACATAATTCCTTTGGGACTGCTGATTTATCTAACAGCCATGCTTCTGGAGTGGAAGACATTGAACTCGATTCAGAGGCTGAACTCATGAAACGCATGGGCTTACCTGTTCAATTTGGCAATGCAGCAGCCCATAAGACATTGGTAGTAAAACCCAATGTATTTTCTGTTCCTTTGTACTATTTAAAGTTATTGGAATGTAAAGTAAATTTAGTACATTGCATTAACAAACCCCACAAAAGAATTTTCAGGAATACATTTCTTTTTCCTCCTGGCTCTAGAATTAAAAACCAAAGTTAAATGAGAGAAGGAATAGGAAAAATGGGCTTTTAAGAAGTGTGACAAAAGAAAAGTTGAGTTGAAAATAACAAATTGGAAAGCAAATGCATTATTGGCTGTTAATCTAAGAGCGCACTAAATAAGATAGCAGTTGAAGATTATGGCGTAGAATCATAGAATTGTAGAGCTGGGTAGATGTGTCATTTGTGATTTTCTGGCTGGGTTACAACCAAGCTATACCATGAAAATTTGTGAAATGAATTAACTAGGTAACCATATTGAATTAGAATCTGTTGAACAAAGTACATAAAATTGCATTTATGCTTTTTCATGCTGAATTTCAGGCACTTGAGAATATTAGTAAGAAAAGTAAGAAAGTGAAGAAGAAGAAGAAGATGAAGAAAAAGAAAATGCTGCAACAAGATATTTTCACAGTAATGCAGGAATCATTGAAACAAGATCTTGATGAAGATGACCTGTCTCTTTCTGATGATCACTCTTCAATTAAAAAGGGATCTGAGAATGACAAGAGCCGTGAAAATGGAGACCTTTTACTTGATGAGTTTCATATGAAAGAAAAATGGGAAAAGTATTGGAGCGAGTATGGAGAAGGACTTCTGTGGCAAAGTTGGCAAGAGAAAAATTTTGAACTTTTGTCTATTACTGAGCCTTGGAATAATCCTGAAGTAAAGGAAAAGTGGGAGCAGCACTATAATGAACTATACTGGTATTACTGGCAACAGTTTCACTACTGGGCAAGTCAAGGTTGGACTGTTGACACCACACATAATAGTGACCTGGAAAATAGTGCAGGGGAGCTGGAAACCAAGCAGCCAGCAGAAATGCAGAACATTGGTGTAGACAGTGTTTGTGTAGAAGTGCTACGCTCCAGCTTACATTCTCAACTCGCTTCCAGTGCCAGCTGCAAGGAAAATCCTCCAAATGATAATCACTGTAATAGTGACATTCTTCCTGAAATTAGTAAAATAAATCTAAACTCTGAAGAAACAGAACGGTTCAAATTGGAAAATGCAGATGATTGTAATGGTCAGAGAGGACTGAGCGTAACAAGCATTGAAAGGTGTTGTCCTTGTGATACTTCTCAGACTGTGAAATGTGATGAGGGAACAAGAGAAAGTAATGCGTCTTCTGAAAATGGATGTTCAGACAAGCCAGGTTGGTATACTAGGTTCCCTTTCCCAGAAGGCATAAGACCCTGTGTTTGCAAAAGCTAGGAAAGAAATTCCCTTGCAACCATCCCATATTCTGTACTGTGCATTTCTCCATTGAGTGGCACATATAAAAGCTGTATTATTTTGGATGTTTTATTCCACATTCTTTGCAATCCTGTTTCCCTTTCCCTCCCCTTTTCCCCAATCCTGCAACTCACATTCTCAGCTGAAGAAGTGTAGATGACACATCGAAGACTTTGTGTCTAGAGCTGAACACTTTGTCTCTCAAGCATCCTAGACTGCTTTGGAACACAGGTATAAAAAGACCCTGTGCTCCCAGTTGACACCACACATAATAGTGACCTGGAAAATAGTGCAGGGGAGCTGGAAACCAAGCAGCCAGCAGAAATGCAGAACATTGGTGTAGACAGTGTTTGTGTAGAAGTGCTATGCTCCAGCTTACATTCTCAACTCGCTTCCAGTGCCAGCTCAGAGATATTGCCTGTCTACTACATTCCTGCACTGAATCCAGTAGAGAGTAAATAAGTGTGCATAAGCAGCTACTTCTGCAGCCTGGAATTCTACCTATCATTTCCAGGGCAGGTAGGGATTAGGCATTTCTTCTCAAAAGGGATATGTTTTGTACTCAGAAGAGTCACTTGCAAAATGTGAATGGTCTTTAGAATATTGTTTACAAAGTAAGCCTCACATCCATATTGTGGTCTTGGGTTTCAAAGGTTATTCAGTACCCAGTTGTCTCACTTTGAAAATATTAATCTAATAGAGTGATTGGTTCCATTTTGCAAGATGTCTGTGGCCTTTAGTCTGTGAGGTGGTAAAGGGGCAAAGGGTGTGTGTGTTCCATCCACATGCATTTGTCATTCTGAAGGGAAACTATTGTTCAATCCACTTAAGACAAAGCCCAACCTTGCTTCTCTGAAACACCCCTAATATCCTACCCACAATTCCTCTGATCTTTCCACAGAAATGTTTGGTTTTCTAACTAGGCATTTCTACCAGTTTGAGGTGCTATCAGAACATACTGCAGTGCCCAGGTACCTCCCAGTCCTGTCAGTATTTCAGAAATCCGAACATTCCTGAGATGCTGATGTTTTCAATTCAGAGCTGGCTACCTGGACTTTGTTATACTGTTGTTTGGAAAGAGGCTCTGAAAGAATGGCTTTCTGATATTTTTGAATTTTAAATGCCTAGATCAGATATTCAATGAAGCAGAGGCTTTCAGATTGATGGTAGATTGATTTGTTTCGCCAAATGCACAGTCAGCAGTTTTGTCTCAACACCAGATAGATTGATGAGTGCAGTTGGGTTCCTAATGAAAAGCAACTGGAAAATAGTATTTCCACTGTGAATTTGGTGAAAATGTAAAATTTTTGATTGAAGTTGCTTTCCTCATACAGGAAATGAATGACTGCTTGAAGATTGCTGTTTTATTGTATTTTATTATATTTTGCTGTGTTTTGTATTATTGTTGGCCATCTTGAGCACCATTGGTGGGATACAAATTAAGCAAACAAACAAATAAAATTCATTAACGCAGGGATGAGGAACTTGCGGCCTTCCAGATGTTGTTGGATTTCAACTCCCATCATCCCTGACTATTGTCCATGAACGATGGAGCTGATGGAGTCTTAAAAACCTAGCGGCAAACAAATTCCCCACCAGTGTATCAAAGCAATGCTTTCTCTCCCCCCCCCCCTTTCCTTCTTAGTTTCACAGGGGTCATCTAGATCTTGTTCAGATGCCACAGGAGGTAGGGGATCGCACAGTAACGATGATGGTGATGATGATGAGCCGCCTGAACGCAAACAAGTCAGATTAAAGAGGAGGCAGGTTATCTATCATATCTTTCACTTCTCCCATTCACATTTGGGTGCCTATATAATTTAGTGTACAGTCGTACCTTGGAAGTCGAACGGAATCTGTTCCGGAAGTCCGTTCGGCTTCCAAAACATTTAGAAACCAAAGTGCAGCCAAGATCCTGCAGCCAATTGGAAGCCGCAGAAGCCCCTTCGGACATTCAGCTTCCAAAAATAGTTTGCAAACCGGAACAGTCACTTCTGGGTTTGTGGCATTCGGGAACCAAAACGTTCGAGAACTAAGCTGTTCGAAAACCGAGGTATGACTGTACTTATTAACCCTTACTGGCTGCTGCCATATTGCCTTTTTTAAAATGTTGCTGCTTTCATGTTATTACTAGTGATTTGAATATTCTGTGAAATGTAAGGCTGTTCTCTTGGGTCTATTTCTATTGAAGAATGACTCTCTATAGTTTAGATCAGGGGTCTGCAGCCTTTTTCTGTCGGGGATCACGTGTCAGTGTTGGAAGGTGCCAAAGCCAGCATAGCCAGGCATTTCCTTCTCTTCTCCTTTTCTGCTCTCACTTCTCTGTCTTTTCCCTACCCTTCCTTGCTACTCAGCAGGCTGCTGATAGACAGACACGGTTGCTCTGGCCAGGGGTTTGAACAGATTACAGAACAGATTACTTGTACTTTTGAAAATGGGCCAAAGGCCACAGACAGTGGCCTGTGGAGCAGCAAAAAAAGCTAGCACTATTCTAGGCTGCATCCACAGAAGTATAGTGTCCAGATCCAGGGAAGTAATAGTACCACTCTATTCTGCCTTGGTCAGACCACACCTGGAATACTTGTGTCCAGTTCTGCGCACCACAATTTAAGAATGGTGTTGAGAAGCTGGAACGTGTATAGAGGAGGGCAACCAAGATGATCAAGGGTCTGGAAACAAAGCCTTATGAGGAGCACTTGAAGGACCTGGGCTTGTTTAGCCTGGAAAAGAGGAGACCGAGAGGAGATATGATAGCCATTTTCAGATATCTTAAGGGTTGTCACGTGGAAGAGGGAGCATGCTTGTTTTCTCCTGCACTAGAGAGTTGGACTCAAACCAATGGCTTCAAGTTACAAGAAAGGAGATTCCGACTAAACATTCAGAAAAACTTTCTGACAGTAAGAGCTGTTTGACAGTGGAACAGACTCCCACGAGAGGTGGTGGACTCTCCTTCCTTGGAGGTTTTTAAGCAGAGGTTAGATGATCATCTGTCATGGATGCTTTAGCTGAGATTCCTGCATTGCAGGGGGTTGGACTAGGTGGCCCTTAGGTCCCTTCCAACTCTAAGATTCTATGAGTTCTATGAGTCCAAGGTTGTCCCCTCCCTTTCTGGTAGAGATAGCCAGACTAATGGTTTTGTACAGTTACTTTTTACCTTTCAAGCAAAAGGTCTTTATGACAGTTTCACTGAAGACCCTAAGTCTCAATGTGAAACAATATTGTGCACAAAACTTCGGGTAATGCTGAGAAGGCATTTATTAGGCATCATTGGGGAACCTGGCTGTGCAAATTTCCGACCTTGTAAACAAGTGATAAAAGTCATTATTTGAATTCAGTGGACACTTGTTTCTTTTGCTTAGCTGCTTTATAATCATTTAGAAATCGACTTACCCTTCATTTGAAGTCAAAATAGGCAGCTGTTTTGTCTCAACTTGCTGTGAACTGTAGTGACAAATATTTTTGTTCCTTTCTAGCCATGAATTGGATGCTGAAGAACATTCCCTGGCTGATTCAGAAAAGATTTGCTGTCTTTTGGGACTCAAATATGGCAGAGGACAAAAGTAATAAGTGTTCTAATGGTTTCCTTAAAGCAGGGGTGAGGAACCATTTCAGCCTGAGGACCACCTTGCCTCTTAGGCAACCTGCCAGGGGCTGCATGCCAGTGGTTGGCAAAAAGTGCTTTGTACAGTAGGCTACATTCAACCCATGCAAAATCTAGAGGTTCCTACACACCTCTGTCCATTCAAGCAAGTAAGATACAAAAGCACTTCAGGAGCAGGCAGAACAGGGTCAGTGAGAGGTGTGACTTGGAAACTATCCTGCAGATCAGATTGAGAATCCTGGAGGTACACATTTGGCCATCAGGCCTAAGGTTCCCCATCCCTTCCTAAAAGTGATGCTGCTGATGGTTGCCGGTTTTATGTGTAGAATATGTCCTTTTCCTAGGTTGCTGTTGAAATACTATGGGTGTTCACTTCCTGCATCTTCTTGATATACTAAAGTTGTCACAAATGACGGATGCTTAGCCTTGATCTTAATTACAAAAAAAAACTAAGACCATGCGGAGGAATGTTGCTTGTTTATAGTAAATAGTTTTCTTTTTCCACTAACAGTTCCTACGCGATCCATTTAGATCAAAGGTAGAGAACTGGATCTGGCCAGTGGGCCAGATCATGATCTCCCTCGCCCTGGGCAGGCAATGTTTGGTAGCTTACTTGTCAATCACTTGGCTTCACATTGATGTTGGGTGGCATTTATGCCCTCCATATGTCTTGCAGAGTGCTTTGCAAAGTGCTACTCGGTACCCTCTGGAGAAACCCTTTTCAAAGTACTGCACAAGATAGCACTTTTTTCACTGTTGCCAAGTCCCTTTCAATCATCTGATCAAGGTCTTCTGGAGTGATTTGAAAAGGACTTCTAAGCTCCTTTCAAAGCACTTATACTTGCAATACTTTGCATAAACTGATTGGTTGTGCCTGCAAATCACCTTTCAGCTGAGCCGGATTTTTACCTGTCCCACCCCCAACATTATATATGACATCATGTATAGGGCATGTAAGCATGGCTTGGCTGAAATGTCATTGCAGACCAAATGGGGAGACTTGATGGGCCTAATTAGCTAGGAGGCTTGAAGGTTCCCCAGACCTTATTTAAATACTTGAGTGATTCAACACAAGATATATTTGTACAAAATGCATTAAAGCCTTTTGGTAAGCTATAAATGTATTACAGTATGTATAAAAGCAAAGTTTACTGCTGTGACTCCATTAATTTTTTAGGCCTATTTATGTGGCAATGTTGGCATGCTTATAAAGGGGGCCTTCAGTTGAAGAAGGCACAGCTAATAAACATACTGTGAAGCTGAGCAAAACTTCTCCCCCCCTCACTGAAAAGGTTGTTTTTAACTTTTATTCTGTTTTCTTCAGATACAGAGACATTCCTGACTTCAGTGAAAGAAGAGTGAGTCATCTCAATAAAAATATGAAGTTTAAATCAAAATTCTTGGACATGCACAGAACAGTCAAGACCAAAAGGAAACATATATTTTTTACAGAAGAACCTGAGACAGGGGCAGTTAAAAAGAGCAGCATTTTGATTAAGGTCGGTATTGTATATGGTATATATGAACTTGGGATTCTGATGTTAAAACCTGTGTGTCTGTTGGCTCTTAAAAATAGTGCAAGATTGTGTTCATAATTTAGAATGCTCTTAGTTGCTAGTGAGAGAAAGAAAGTAGGTACAATTTTATGTTTCTTAGTGTATACTAGATTATGTAAGTAATTAAATTCATATTAGTCTAGTAAGGACTGTATCTTAAGAAGAGACTTCAATGTTTAGGAAGGACGCAGCCCCATTATACCATCTGGGATTGTTCCCGGGCATATACAGGACCTGAGATTTTACCATGTCAAAAGCTCCCTACATATAGATACCCTGCAGCTGCCAAGGTCATCTGATGTGGTGGTGCGTCATGTGATGACTGTACTGCATGTCCATCCTAATGTTTTCGTTGGTTTGCATATGTACAGTAAAAGAAACTGCAACACAATGTACCCAAGGACCAGTTTACGCAGATAAAACAGCTTGTTTCTCTTTGCAATGGCATTGTCCGCTTACATCAAGGTTCATTGTAGACATAACATGAAACTATCAGGATTAAGGCCGAGCCATAATTTTTCAGCAACTTGGATATCACAGTAAGCAGTGGTGGAGTGGAGGAAGAGCCCTTCCTGGGGGTGGGGGGAGTCTACAAGCCTGTGAGGTGAAATGCTCCCGAATGTCAAAACGTAGTGTTCCTTTGTAGGGTTCTGTTGACTTCTTTCTCCTTTTACTTAGACTGCTGAAGTAGTGATAATCTCCCTTCAGTAGCAAGTCACATTTCTGCAATTGTTTGAAATGTGGTTCTGTAATACATGGTCTTCCTAGGTAGAAAGCTTCTTGAAACAAGTGAATGAGCCTGCGGAAGAGATGTCTCAAGACAGAGTTCACCCTCCTTCTTCCAGTAGTGATTCAGAGGAACAGGAAAACATTGCTGGCTCACAAAATAATTTGGATTCTCCTAAAAGTGACCTGCCATTCTCCAGTTCAGATTCTGGTAAGCGTGGAGGAAACAGCACTGAGGAAAAAGGCAAAGAAAATCTGGTAGTAGCAACAAGTGACTGGAAGTTCCAGGAGCCTAAGGAAGAGGCAGGAAGAGAAGATGCACATCCTTCAGGAAGAGAGTTAGTTCCTGTGGATATTCCGGACTACCTGCAGGTGGAAGCAGAAGGTATGTGATAATTCTGAGTAAAAGCTTTAAAAAAGTGTGTGTGTGTCTGTGTGTATGAATGAGAAACTGTTGATAAGCCCCCAAAGCCTAAAAAACCCAAAATTAATCCCCTTTTTATTTGCAAGAGGAATTGTTTGGCATTGAACAGAGTGCTACTTCACCAGCTACTCCTTTGAATAAAAATCCAGCTAGCAACAACTTCTGCTGGAAATAAATGTAGCAGGCTGGTGGGGGAGCATGGAACTCTGCCTGCTTCTGTGAGTTTGCTTTACAAGAGAGCAGTTCCAACCTATAGTAGAGATCTTCTTGGTCCAATGAACAGTTTCTTTCTCAAGAAATGTTATAGGATAAGCAACATAGGTGTTAGGGGGAGTTTTGCGTAAAAGGTTTTGTCGGTTGGTTTAAGAGAATTTCTGTGTTCTCTTAAATTTCTGAAATCTCTGTGGGAGAAAAGAATGTTTTGGTTTTCATTGTACTAATTTTTGTTGAAATGTCTGTGTATGTTTTCAGATGCTTCTTTTGCTACTTTATTTTTTTTATTTCTTATTCCCAGTGAATAAATTTGTAGTGAATTTCACATTTGATTACTACAGTAGATGTAGCAATAAAGCTGTGGCTTTTTTGTTTCCCTGTTGCAATATCAGCAGCTGAAGTGAACAATTACACTAATATTTATTTCAGTTTAATGGCTTTTATTGTATGCTATATTTTGCATGCTGTTGTCCCTGTAATCACTTTGGGACTCCTCCTGGCTCTCTGAAGCAATGCATAAATTGAACTGAAATGAGTAATAAAAGTAGTTTAGATTTTTCTTCGTGTTCCTAAATCCATTTAAGAGAAATGAGCTAATTGCATGGTCCATGGGGTCCATGGGGTCACGAAGAGTCGGACATGACTAAACGACTAAAGAACAACAACAATGGTTTTCTTTGGTTTAGGTGAAGTAAAAACTACAAACAAGAGGAAAATCAGGATAATACCGAAGAAGACAAACAGGTGTGGGCAGCCCCTGCCTCCTGAAATAGTTGCTGATCCTGAGTTGGCTAAATACTGGGCACAGCGGTATAGACTGTTCTCTCGATTTGATGAAGGAATTCAGTTAGACAGAGGTAAATTCATAGTAATGATAGAGCTGAATATATTGATTGGAAGCTACTTTGTTTTGAAGTGATTGGCAAGTTCTGTAATAGACCATTCTACACATGTAGATCATCACTTGATACTTCAGTTGCTAAATGATGATTGTGCATGTGTGAGCTATATACTTCACTGATTTTTATGTTCAAGCTTGTCCTTTTTAAGTACAGAAATATAACTAGTGCTTTCTTCCATTAGAGGGATGGTTTTCTGTTACGCCTGAGAAGATTGCAGAGCATATTGCGGATCGTGTAAGCCAGTCCTTCAACTCTGACTTAATAGCAGATGCATTCTGTGGCGTAGGAGGAAATGCTATTCAGTTTGCCTTGGCAGGGAAAAAAGGTAAACATTTCTGTTTGCTTCTTTTCTCTTATCCACTGTGTGCGCATTAATAATGCTAGCGTTGTGGTAGATACATATATATAGAGAGAGATTGTGTATGTGTGTGTTCTAGTTAAAGCTAAAGATTCTTACTAGGGGACAGATCTAGTCTTTGCAATTGGCTAAATTCCTCCCTCCAGTTCTCAGTGTCACTTTCCACGTTGTCTTGGAAGGGTTGGATACTGTCTCCACCCTCCACTGTGTGGATGTAAGAGGAGGGAGGAATCTGCAGAAGTGCCTTTCCTGCTTTCACTAGTGAGATCCTCCAAGAGATGGAGTCTTTTTTTCCATGACGATCTGAGTTCAGCCTTACGCTTTGCTTGCTTAGAAAAATTAAACCATTATCAGCTTAGTTTAGAGTTACACAATATACACCGGCCAAAAAAATTATACAAATGCAGAGAAAATATAGTGGTGTTATTCCAGCTTAGGTGATTGGTTGTTTATGTGGCACAAGTACTAATTCCCACTGCTTTCTTTCTTTTCAACATACATGACTGATTGAATTTTTATTTTTTTTAAAAAAAACCTGCATTTTGAAAAAGACCTTGTTCATTCTTTTTAGTAATCGCAATCGATATCGACCCTGTGAAGATCAGTCTTGCTCTCAACAATGCAGAAGTCTATGGAGTAGCAGATAAAATAGAGTTCATCTGTGGGGACTTCATGAAGCTAGCATCCAGTTTAAAAGCAGATGTTGTGTTTCTGAGCCCTCCGTGGGGTGGGCCTGAATATGCTGCTGCAGAAATCTTTGATGTTCAAACTATGATTTCTCCCGATGGATATCCTTTTTCAAGTCACTTCTTCCACAACAGTAAAACAAATGCTGTTTTTTCTTACAGGGTGACCGCATATCACATATTATGCTTTCTGCCATATATCATTTCATCTTATACGTTAAATTAATACCCCACCCTTCCTCCCAAAGAATTATTTCCAGAGAACAGGGTCTTTCCCCCTGACTTTGTAGTTGCAAAGGGCTCAGATGATCTGAAAAGTGTAGGCTTAGTTTCAAGTTGCTTATATTAAGCTTAAGTTCTAATGTGGTGTGTTTTTTAATGACACACCTTGGATAGGAATTCCAGGGTCATGAGTTAAGATTTTTGTACTGTTGAATGATTGGTGATGACCTTCTTCAAAGCAGCTGATGACAGTGTTGCAAACTGATTCTTGTAAATCAAATGTTCATTGCTGTTTCTCTCAGGAGAGATTTGGGTACTCTGACTAACAAGAGATTTTATTTTTAAAAGTGACCTTCTTTTCAGAATTGGTCCTATTTAGGATGTTGCCTTTATAATGCTGACAACCAGATTTCTGTTGTTGAAGAGGTTTTGTTTGAGTTGGCATAAAGTCTTGTGTAATCTGGGAAATTTCTGTAGTTGCTTTAAAAAAAAACACCACCACATTTTGGCAATTCCTTGTTCTTACTTTTGACTGTCTGTTAGACAAAAGATCCTAGGGCTGAAAAGAATCAGATACTTATCAAATCTCGCTCTTGGTCCTGTGGCGAGATCACCTACTAAATCTAATAATTCCTTCCAGGTTAACATTTCTGAGTTCTTATAGGATGACTTTACATGTGTCCTAGATGATTCAGTAACTAATTCCCACATTGAGGACCTAGTGTAAAGGGCAGTTTCAGGTTCTCAAATTCATCGTGATCATCCTTTCAGATCTGTTGTCCATATGGTATGAGTGAGGGTTAGAAACAGTTCTGTCTCTGGAGAAATACCTTCTTTTTCCTTGGCAATCACTCGTAGCCGAGTAAGATTGTCTTCCATGAAAATGGTCTTAGCAGTTTGTCTGTAAGTGACTGTGGAGATTGATTCTGGATTTGCACATCCTTCCACAGTGAGGACACAGGTCGCTCTATTGGACGCAGTTTTTCCCCTCCAAAAATTGAGGGGAAATGTGTGTGCGTCATATGGAGCAAATGCAGGCTTGTGCCAGGGAGAGGCTGCACGAGGCTATGGCTTCTTTAGCTCCACGCAGCCTCTCCTGGCAGGGAGAGATTGCGCGGGGCTAAAGAGGAAGCTAAAGCAGCGAGCGGGATCCATCCCGCTCGCTGCCTTGGCTTGTGCCATAGCCGCACGCAACCCCTCCAGCAGGGAGAGGTTGTGCGCAGCCTGTACGTTGCTCTTTGGGGCTGGGGAGGAAATTTTTTTTTATTGATTTCCCCATCTAAAAACTAGGTGCGCCCCATGGTCCGGTGCGCCCTATGGAGCAAAAAATACGGTAGATCACTGTGAGGATTTGCCAAACGTTTCTCCCTTTCGGCCTGAGTTCATGCTTCTTCAAAGTCCATGCTGCCTTTGGTAGAGGCTATTCTCCAACTGACGGGCTCTTTGTCACCAGTGGTTGGTGTTTATACTACATTTTAAAGGATTTACCTTGAGATAATCTTTAAACCTCTTTTGCTGTCCACCAGCATTATGCTTATCATTCTTAAGTTGGGAATAGAGTAGTTGCTTTGGAAGACGATCATCAGGCATCCGAACAACATTTGACAGGTAGTTTGGGTATGGTCAGTACATGCAGCAGAGAAGCTGGAAATTAGGTTGGAGAGACCTAAAGTGGTTGCATGGAATATACCACTTAAACTGCAAGGGGTAGGGGGAGACATGTTTTTGAAAGTGATTAACACCTCTAAATTGAAAATTAGCATAGCAAGAAGGCTAATCTGAACAATACTTCTTGCTGATTTGTTAATGCTTTGTTTTCATTTTTATACTTGCAAATAGTTGTGTTTTGCTTTTTACTAGAATATTTAAAAACTAACAGTGGTACCTCGGGTTACATATGCTTCAGGTTACAGATGCTTCAGGTTACAGACTCTGCTAACCCAGAAATAGTACTTCAGGTTAAGAACTTTGCTTCAGGATGAGAACAAAAATCGTGCTCCAGTGGCACGGCAGCAGCAGGACGCTCCATTAGCTATAGTGTTGCTTCAGGTTAAGAACAGTTTCAGGTTAAGAACGGACCTCCGGAACGAATTAAGTACCGTAGATTCCAGCATATAAGACAACTTTGTAACCCCAGAAAAGAGGTTAAAAAGTCGGGGGTCGTCTTATACGCCGGGTATGGGCGGGGAGGAGCCCGCTCCGCACCGGGCGGCTTTCTCCCAGCGCGGAGCTGCCCAGCGTATTAGATGACTGGACTTATAAGACGAACCCCCAAATTGCAGCTGCCAATTTGGGGGGTCATCTAATACACCCAGTCACCTAATACGCCGGAATCTATGGTACTTAATCCGAGGTACCACTGTACCTATCTTGCATTCTGAAGTGGTACAATCCACTCTGCTACCTCATCCTGCTGCTTGTGTAGACTAGGGCCCTGATCAGAATATCACTCACGGTATTCTGTATATGCCTGTGGAAGAATGTGTGTTACCTTAGGGGACTGTCTTACTAAAAGAGGCATCCCCATTGAAAGAGTATTTGCTTTTTCTTCCTTAACACATCTGTACATTTGAAATTTTCAAGCTGTCGCAAAAGATTACCAGCAAGATTGTGTACTTTCTTCCTCGTAATGCTAACATAGATCAGGTAAGTTTTAATTTGCAGATTCAGGAGTAGTGCTAATCTAGAGACGTAGGGTAGAATTCAGTGTTGCGCATTTGCAGCATGCCAAAAGGAATGATCCCCCCCCCCACACACACACTGTTCTGGGGACTCTCCCCACACCTACTCAAGCCATTTTGGGGGGCAGAGGTGGGGAAAGCCCTGTTGCACAAGTGAAAGTCCTTATGCAAGGCTTCTGCTGACTGACTTCTGCCCCTGAGCTGCGAACAGACATTTCACCTCTGCCCAGTGGGCTTAAGTCTGTCTTTCACCTTCCATTTCTTCCCACCTCCATCTACAATATGGCGATAACACTGACCTACCTTACACGTTTGCTGTAAGGAGTACTGAGAGCCTATGTAGAATGTGTAAGATTGAATATTATTGTTATCGAGCTTTCTCCCTGTAGAACAAGGATGGGGAATCAGGTGGCCTCTACATCTCCAATCATTCCCAACCTTGCCCATTACAGAGTGGAGCTGACGGGAGTTGGAGTCCAACACCTGGAGGGCTACGGGTCCTAGAATGCTAAATATGTATTTTTGTTGTAAAAAAAAGTAGGCTCTTTGACATTCAATAACCTTAGAAGTTTGGGCAGAAAGGACCGAAGGGAAACATGATAGAGGTTGAACAGCATAGACAGTATGGATAGTGTTTATCATTCTGTGCTAGAAACTGAGGTCACTCTGTGAGATTGAGTGGCGGAGCAGACAGAAAGAAAAACATAATTTATATCAGTGAGTACACGAAAAGTTAGCAAGGACCACTAGCTTAGATAGCATTTTTTAAGGGTTAGGCCAATCCATAGGGGCTAGGTCTGTTAATGACTACTATATAAATGGATTCTCTTTGTTCTGAGGCAATGTAACCCTAGATACTAGTTGATGCGGAGCAAAGAACTCAAGAGAACTGGACCAGGTGTAATTTTTTGGCAAAGACCATCACTAAATGTTTTGCTGTACTGGGCTGGTGCAGCTGCAACTTTTCCAATGCTAGTAATTATTTAAAAGTTGGTAATTGGGTTATTAGCTTTCTCCCTTTGCACACAGATCTCTCCTCTTTTTACTTAAGGATTTTTGACTTAAGGATTTTTGACTTAAGGATTTAAGCATTCTAATGATGGTTAAGGGTGTTCCCAAGCCCTGGTCGTTTAGCATTAAAACCTTGTTTTAGGAATGTCTTCAAGCATGGCTAGCAATGAAAGGCTTGCAGGCTGCACATCAGAGATCCTGAACTATACCTGTTACACTACCTTGTACTGGGGTCTGACATTACACTTCAAAAGTTTGGGCACCGTTACTTTGCATTTTCAGTTTTCTTACAACATTTACATTGTTGTAGATGTAGCAATATACAAACCCCCACAAAGTTTAATATAAGCAGTTAATAACCAAATCCAGCCTTAAAATGTTGAAGATATATAAACACTGCCTGAAGGGGCAAAGGTGATCAAACTTGAATTATTGTCAGTTTCTTTCTACTTCCTCTAGAGGGAGCAGTCATACCAAAAAGATACAGATAGCATAAGTAAATTATGCATGCTGTGCTTTTAAACTAAGCAAAGAATGAACTGTTTGGTGTTTGCTGCTGGCTTTCTTTATACACTTTTCAGGACAGAGTTTTCAGGTTGTGGGATACTTGGCATGAAAGTATTTTTGTTTAAAAAACTCAGAACCACAAAAGCAAAATGAAGGTAAACTAGGTCAACAAATGTTGTTTTTGTGGTGTTTGTTATTAGACATAATTATGTTTGCTCATGATGGGGACTTAATAGCAACTTGCAGTAAAAAATACTACTTCAAAGGCAATTTATATGGATGTACACACCTACCCTGGAATAGGACAGACTTTTATTAAAAGTTCATTGTATGTATGTTTGCACACACACATCCAGACCACTATTCCCAGTGTGCTGTCATTTCTGGGACTGATCTTTCTAGAAGCTGAACGTTTGGGCTTACAGTCTAAGCCATTGTCTGTTCTTCAGTTGCAGTTCTAGGTTTGTTGCAATAACAAAGTACGTAGAGAAAAGCAGATACTTATCCCCTCAGGATCATGAGCCTTTTCCCAAGTTTACATAAAAGTCTGCTGAGATATTGCAGATTCCAAAATTCCAAAAGTTTCCCAAAATGTCAGATCCTGCTAATGTTAACAGAGATAAAAAGTGGTAGCACATGAAAAAGCATAACTTAAAAATGTCAGTGATAGCTTGTACAATCAAATAGGAAAATGGTCCCAGATGGGCAGGTGTGTCAAGTTAGCGGGATGTAATCACAGGTAAATGTGCATAGGATGGCATCTTTGTGGTGAGGGACCTGTCAAGTTTGGGATGCTCAGATATGTTTTTCCTAAGTAATCTTTGCTACACAGACTAGACAGATCTCATCACTGATAGCATTATTTGCACAAGCGTAATGGATATCCCTTTCAAATATCAACACAGCTTCCACATCCAATTCTATCCTAGGAAGCAGGAAGATTTGTGTGTGTGTTTTTTTCTTTTTTCAGATATGTTAACTCAAATTTAAACCATTGGAGATGATCATGAACAAGTCTGACTGGGTTCAGTAATCTATAGGCAGGCACTCTGGAACTGTACATCTCCATGTCCTGCAGATAGAGAACATGTACACTGAGAACAGAAAGAGTTGTGAAATTTATTCCATTAGGCTGAGCCCAGCAAATATGGGCATTTCACATCCAGATGCTCAAATTTGTGAGAAGGCCCCATTGAGCTTTACAGGACACACATTGTCCATCTGAGGCTTTGAGATGAGGGTGTCCTCCAGACCATTTTGAAATTTCCATGTAGCACCTTGCCATAAGCAGCTGGTAACTGGAAGTGACGTATATTTGAATGACGATCCCTCCTTCTTTCAATTGATGGGGTGAACAGAAATTCATTTTCTCTAAGAATGTTTATTTTTGAGAGTTGCATCTCTTAAATATAATCCAATCTGTTTTTCCCTAAAAGCCTGCTGTGCTGCCTACATGCACGTGTGTTTTAACAAAACAAGTGCGCATAGGACAGGAACTGAGTAAATGCAGTTTCCAGAAGCAGTTAGATTGTATTGAGGGTCTTGTGTAATCCAGTTTTTCCCCTTAACTCTCAGGGTTCAATGAACTTTAGAGAAATCCACTTGCGGTAATATAACCAGTCCACACAAGTAGATCATTACTCCAGTCATTTGTACAAAAGCAAAAATGGAAACTGCTGAGATATTTTGGGGAGTCAAGATAAGTTAGTAATTCCTTAATGAATCACTGCACCACAGACAAGATTTTCCCTTATCTAGCAAGGAGGTCAGGAAGTAGCACTGGGAAATGGGAGGGTTTTAGTAAACGTAGGTTTGTCACTGGGAGGGTTTATATTCAATCAGATATGCTTCCTTCAAGTTTACTCTTTTACTACTTAAGTGCTTATGCTGGCATGTCATGAATTGATATTCTATCCAAATACAGCCATGGGAGGAGGCATTAGCCACATTCACATGTCACATGGTTTGCAATGCACAAATGAGTCACAGCTGCTTTCCTTCTCCCTCTGAGTGTTGGGAGAAAACAAACCATCATTCTGGTTTGTGTTTCATTTGAACCAGGGTTTGTAGGTTTGTTTCACTCCCAAATGATCTGGCTACAGATTGTGGTTTGTTAGGGCTGAGACAAACCACAGTCCCCGATTTGGATGTAGCACTAGGCGAAGAATGTGATTTGCTTTCACCTAACCATAGCAGGGTGGTAGGCGTGATTTTTGTATGCATGGTAAGCTATGGTTTGTGCTTCACAGTGACATGTGAATGTGGCCAATTGGTGATGGAATTGGCATTAATACAGGTGCCACATAATACAGATAGTCAGTTTAAAGATGCCAGTTTAAAGGACTTATCACCCTCTTTTTGCTATTAAAGGGGGCCATAGGTCACTGGTAAAGCATCTGCTTTGCATTCAGAAGCTCCCAGGCCCCATCCACAGCATCTCCAGGCAGGGCTGGGAGAGAACGCTCTCTGAAACCCTGAAGAGCTGCTGCCAGTCAGTGTAGACAATGCTGAGCTAGATGGATCTATAGTCTGACACTGTATAAGACTGAGCTTCCTGTATTTCTAAGTGTCAACAGTCTGGTTCCATTCCAGTTCAAATGGAACATATCCTCTTTGTACGGGCCTTGCTTGCCCCAAAATGTCCCCCACTTTTGAACAAAAAGAAACCTGTTTCCCCACACACCATGGCCTTATCAATGAATAGAGCTCCTTAGCTATGCCTTCCTAGCTGTCCCTGTGTATGGAACAGGTAGCATTTATTTCAACTTCTTATGGACTTGATTATTTCCCCAGCAGAGGCTTATAGTCGCCTATCAAAGTTCTTGTGGTAGTGGGTTTTCTGAAACAGGTTGGGCTAGATGAGCCTTCCTGCTTATACTACTACTACTAATAATAATAATAATAATAACAATAATAACTTATTCTTTATATGCCACCCATCTGACTGGGTTCCCCCAGCCACTCTGGACAGCTTCCAGCAAATTCAGACATCAAACACAGTAAGACATCAAGCATTAAAAACTTCCCTGAACAGGGATGTCTTCTAAAAGTCAGGTGTTTATCTCCTTGACATCTGATGGGAGGGCGGGGACGACTACTGAGAAGGCCCTCTGACCAGTTCCCTGTAACCTCGCAGTGAGGGAACTGTCAGAAGACTCTCAGAGCTGGACCTCAGTGTCCAGGATAAATGATGGGGATAGAGACACCCCTTCAGGTATACAGGGCTGAGGATGTTTAGGGCTTTTAAGGTCCTGAATCTATTGCCATCTCGGTGTCACATTTTGAGTTATTTAACAGTTCTTGTTTTTCTTTCTTTTTACTTTTTAGGTGGCTTCCTTAGCTGGGCCAGGAGGAAAAGTTGAAATAGAACAAAACTTTCTGAACAACAAATTGAAAACCATAACTGCATACTTCGGTGATCTAATAAAAAAACATGCACCTTGACTCATTTATGTGAGTGAACCTGCTTGTCAAGGCAAAATGTATTATCCCAAAGCTTTGAAGATTACTCCCTTTGCCTGTTATATACAGTGGTGCCTCGCAAGACGAAATTAATCCGTTCCGCAAGAGTCTTCGTCTAGCGGTTTTTTCGTCTTGCGAAGCAAGCCCATTGACGGATTAGCGCTATTAGCGCTATCAGCTGTTTAGCGGCTATTAAAGGCTTAAAGGCTTAGGGGATTAGCTGCTAAAAGGCTATTAAAGGCTATTAAAGGCTTAGCAGATTAGATAAAGGTGGGGGAAAGCGAAAAAAATCTCAGGACTCGCAAGGTATTTTCGTCTTGCGAAGCAAGCCCATAGGGGAATTCGTCCTGCGAAGCAACTTCAAAACGGAAAACCCTTTCGTCTAGCGGTTTTTCCGTCTTGCGAGGCATTCGTCTTGCGGGGCACCACTGTATTTTACAATCAGTGGCTCCTCTAAAATATTGTCATTTTGTTAATTAATGAAAAAATGGTTTAGAATGCCTGTTGCAGTTATCAATAAAATATTTTACAATAAGTCTGAAGGATTTTCTAAGTGATTATCAAAGTAAAGTGTGAAGTGGATTAATAATTAGACTTCCATTTACATACACAGAGCAGTGAGGCCGTTTCCCAAACATATTAGCTAGATTAGCCTCCAAGGATAGATAGACCATCTGAACTTCCTGCCCTCTTGCAGATGAGAATAGTTGCTGCAAATACAAACTTCACCAGGAAGTAGTCAGACTATAACAGAGGGGCAATGTCTGCCCATATTTCTAGACCACCACACCTCCCTATTTGGAGCAAAGGCCAAATAAAGGGTGTATCCCACTCTTCCATGTGTCAGGCAGATAACCACTTGAGACAGCACATGATGAAATCCTAAACTGGGCCCAGAGCATGGATTTTGGTATGGATGCCAAAATCTTCCAGCACTATGCTGGAGACCACCTCAGTTTGGGAAGCTGTTGGGAAGCAGAGTCCCTAACCTGTCTGACCCAACACCAGATACAGGCCTTCTACTCCTTCTCCAAAGGGTTTCCTGGTGATGGAAAATGAACTCTGGTGGTCTACAGCAACTCCCCCTGCCAAATCTGAGTAGCTTAGCAGGCAGAGCTGCATCTGGCCCACCCAGGTCTTGATAAAAGGTCTGCTCATCCACAATTAAGGGGTCCACAGGATCCTATGGCAAACAGACCCAGTCTTTTAACAGCACCACCCCCAGACTGTTGGTCACAGTGGTGGAGCATCCAGAGATACCAAGAATGGAGAGGAACTCAATAAGGGACCCACCATGCAAGCACCTGTAATCCCTCCTCTGGTGCACCCTACCCTGTGTCAGCATCGCCCTTGAGCCAGTGCCACCAACTGACTTATACACTTCAGCCCCGACTGGGCTAGGCGAGCTGGGTCACACTTCCAGAGACCACCTTCTGCACAGGAACAGGTCAAAGTGCTGTGGACTCACAGCTTAGAGTTGTGAGCACCGGATTAACTCCAACAAGAAGACAGTCGTCGCACATCAGAGTATAGCAGAGCATAAACAACTTGGAGAGCAGCTCTGTAGAATATCTTCTTTTATTGTATCTACAACTATAATACACAACTATGTACAGAGCTAAATGAGGTCTAAACGAAAATGCTGAACTGCACTGAGTGTTTGCAGCTGCTCTTGGCAGCAACCTTATCTATACACACGATCTCTCTCTAACACTCAGTCTCTCACTCTCTCTCTTTGATGTGAGGCTGGAGCGGAAGAAGTAGAGAGCAGAAACCGCCCCTCCTCTCTGGAGAATCAGCAGAGAACATCAACAGATTCTTGGATATGGGAGGGGTGAAATCTCCTCACCCTGGCCATGCTTGCTCCTCCCCCTGAACACTGAGTGTCAGGGACTGGAAGGGCTCTGAAGAGTGTGGTGGAGGTAGGGGACAAGGGGAGTGACCCAGAAGAGGGGACCAGTGATTTATGCGAGGTGGGGTGATGCTGCCTGCAAGGCAGGAGCTGGGGAGGAGGGAAAGTCAGGGCAGAGGAAGGTGTGCCAGATATGGAGGTGGTTCAGCTGACAGTAGACCTCCACTTTTCCCCACCCCACTTCCTCCTAGAACCAGGGGGGGCTTGAAGTGGGAAGAGCAGCGGCACCTTCTGTGCAGGAGAAGCCTCAGGTTGCAGGCACGCAACCCATCAGGGTTGCAATGTAAGCTGGAGGAGAGGAGGGCCCCCACTGTTGCTGCAAGTGCTCCATAGGCTCCAAACCTGTGGACAGCTGCTTAGAGGCTAGAAATGTGTGGTATCCGGAGCACCTTGGAAGCTGCTGTGTTTCTCTTGCCAATAAACAGTTAATTATCAGGCATGTGCCTTCCTTCTCTGGGACAGGCCTGACACTGAGAGACTACCCTAAGATTTACTCCCTGCAGGCACATTCCTCCTAAAATCCACCTCAAAAATAGTCACAGACAGCTATATACACTACCCACAGATGACAACCCAACCACAGATGCACTACAGCCAGTTCACATTAAAAGGACATAGCATAATAATTTATAGCACCCATAATATAAATCCTGTTCACAGGCATTCTACTCTAACCTGTAGTATTACAAACATGCATCATCTCCTAGCTCATGCCCACTGGGTGCTAACTCGTAAATCACAACTGTTTTCCACACTGGGTATCCCAAGGATCACACTTAATCCTATGGATGGTCAAACAACCCACATACTGTACATTTCTCCAATTTCCTAATCCCATACAAGAATATTATTGTTGTTGTTCAGTCGTGTCCGACTCTTCATGACCCCATGGACCAGAACACGCCAGGCACTCCTGTCTTCCACTGCCTCCCGCAGTTTGGTCAAACTCATGTTAGTAGCTTCGAGAACACTGTCCAATCATCTCGTCCTCTGTCGTCCCCTTCTCCTTGTGCCCTCCATCTTTCCCAACATCAGGGTCCTTTCCAGGGAGTCTTCTCATGAGGTGGCCAAAGTATTGGAGCCTCAGCTTCAGGATCTGTCCTTCCAGTGAGCACTCAGGGCTGATTTCTTTAAGAATGGAGAGGTTTGATCTTCTTGCAGTCCATGGGACTCTCAAGAGTCTCCTCCAGCACCATAATTCAAAAGCATCAATTCTTCGGCGATCAGCCTTCTTTATATATTACCAGCAATATTACAGCAAAAAAAAAAGAGAGAGAGAGAACAAGGGATGAAATGAGGGACCCCCTACCTTATTCCACACTCAAAAGTAACAACCTCAAAGGAGCAACATCCTTTGGAATTGTCCTTTCCTGTTAAACATCATACTAGCAACAATAACTTTCTAATTGCTGCCAAATTCCTTTGGATTGCTGCACTGGGGCAAAGGAGTGACCAAGCTGATCAGTACTAGATGCTCTCTTTCCAGAGAATTAGTGAAAACTGACAGGGGGCAAATTGAAACTGAGCCATCTTTAACATGGAAAGATTCTGGGAGTGTTGTTTGTTAATAAATCAACAAAATTGTTGGTCCCTAATAGAGATCTCTGGTGGCAAGTGCTGCTAGGATTGTAGCCAAAACAGGGCCACTGAGAAATGAGAGAGGTAGGTATCCACATGTTCATGGGGATGACCTGCTACTAAAAGAGCAAGACAAACTCCGAAACTATGAAAACTGCATGCTCAGTAGCCTGGGAAAGTAGCTGGGAAAGGGAAAATCCAGTAGGGGGAGGGAAAGAAAGAAGAGTAGAACTCTTATTGGAGGCAATGACTGACCAGATTCCTAAACTTTTAGGAGGGAGGACATTCTGCAAAATTTTGTTGCAGTCCTAGTTACAGAGTTTTGAACTGAACAGAATGAGCATTGTCATATTCCGCCATCATTTAATTCAGGGTGGATCTATGAAAGCTGCCAACATGTCTCATGCTCTCTTGTAGCCTAAGAACCAGTAGCACTTAGAAACAGAGCTGCTCTCCTCACACAGCCCTGTGTAAGACAGTACTTATGGTAGCTGCTCCTGCCGCTCTTCTCTCTGTGGCAGTGAAAAGAGAATTGTTACAAGTAACCAGCCGAGTGCTAAATTACTGAGCTGCATTAGATGATTATGATTTGCAGTTGAACTTAGAACCATAGAATGCATTGAGTCAGGCATCCAGCTGCTTTTTATTGCTCTATTGAAAACATTCAATCATTTGTCATGATTAGCAGCAATAAAACTAGGCTAGGCTGGCATCTTATTTGTAGAGCAGCTGAAAGTGTAAGACTATTAATGGCTCCTAGACACAGTGTCATATGTTCTACCTCCACTGTCAGAGGCAGTATGCTGGGAATCACAGGTGGGGAGGGTGCTGCTGTGCCCAGATCCTGCTTTTAGGCTTTCCATAGGTTGGCCGCTGTGAGAAATGGGATGCTGGACCAGATGGGCCATAGGCCTGAGCCAGCAGGCTCTTCTCATGCTGCTATGTGCTCACACATGTGACCCTAGAAAAACTCGCTTAAGGAAACTAGCAACTAAAGCAGCCAAGGCACAAGTGATCATCGCAATCTGTTGTGAATTCTCCAGGATTACAGCGGTACCTCGGGTTAAGTACTTAATTCGTTCTGGAGGTCCGTTCTTAACCTTAAACTGTTCTTAACCTGAAGCATCACTTTAGCTAATGGGGCCTCCAGCTGCTGCCGCGCCGCCGGAGCACGATTTCTGTTCTCATCCTGAAGCAAAGTTCTTAACCCAAAGTACTATTTCTGGGTTAGTGGAGTCTGTAACCTGAAGTGTATGTAACCCGAGGTACCGCTGTACTGGAAAGCTTACCTAAATGCAGTAGAATCTGTAGCACTTCTGACAGCTTCTTATGGTTATCTAGCACCGCAAGAAATAAAGATAACTATATTTGAGATATATTTGAGATGGGAAGCAGAGCCTCTATCTGCTCTGCTAGAAGACCAGCTCCAGGCCATCAGCTTCATCCTTCCCTCCCTCAATTGTCATGTGGCAGCAGCCATTCCACTTGGCTG